GCTGTCTTTTTGCTCCATTGAAATCCACTGTGTTGTTCGCCATCCTCAATATCCATCCATTACGCACAGGATTGGATCAATGGGATTCAAAGAGAGCTGGTGGCCAATTTAACATGAGGGTGGGTGTCGTTGACCTTCAAAATATTTCCCTCCGCACTAGCAGTTTCCGCCACCAGAAGCCCCATCCTCGTCAGAGACATCAGCATCACTTTTTGCCACGCTCGAGGAATTTATAATTTGGCCCACACCCGCACGCGCGTCCTGAGGAGTGAGGAAAAGGCATTTATTATGTGAAAATTGCCAATTTCCAGCTTATTTCACCCACATTCCCGTCATTCCTCTGCTCTGGGACTGTGTTTTGGTGGCAGCACACCAAAACTTCCTTTTCCAACCCGGCATTCCATCCTCGAAGATGTGTGTCAATGCAATGACCAACAATTTTCCCATCAATTTTCCATGAGCCCTGCGATCAAGGCGAGCAATCGTCTATGAATACTCCCCAGCGACTCTGACCTTTCCCTCGGACTGCCTCAATCTCGAGCAGGCCACATGGGCAGGGACAGTGGCGAGGTGGGTGAAAAATGACGTTCTGATTGATGGACTGTGTCCTTTTTTGTGTGTCAATTGACTGGGTCGATTGTCCCAATTATGTACATGCCCTCCATGAATGGAATAGCACTTCTTTTGGGCTCTTCTTGTTGGAACTTTTCCAGCGAGAGACTTTGTGCCACACAAAAAATCCCCATAGAATCAAGAGTGTGTAGTCAGCACTTTGCGAAGGCAGTCTTTCACGTCCCCTTCAAGGTATAAAGTACACTATACACTCAAGATTTCGTCCAGAAGATTCTGCTGCTCTCGGTCTTTACGAATTTCCCTCTCACACGCGAAAATGCTCAAAAACTAAATTCTAATGATGTGTGACAGAACTATTCATGTGATGAATGTTCCTCGAACAATTTGTCCACATTAGTTCCTTCGGAAGTGCCTCGCTGTTCATTTGTAACATTGCTCTCAGTGGGAAATTTCCTTGCCGGAGCATTTTTCTTCATTACTCAAAACGAGCGATTCTGGGCCAGTCTTGGCAATACTCCAGGGAGAGAGAGAGAGAGTTCGTCTGCGATGACAGAGTGAGGAGCTTGAGAGAAATTCCACGACCTCCCCCCATGTCAAGTTTAATTGCACATCAAATCACGTGCACTCTCTGCAACCCCCGCCTGAGGTTGTACATGAGCATGGCAGCCCAATTCTCATCATTATTATTAATGCTTTCCGCCACACGACTTACAATCGCCAAGAACTTTCTGAGCCCACCCTCGCGTACTTGCGCCTCAAGGGTACACTTTTGGGGTTTGTAGTTTGTACAATATAGTGGGGACTCTGTCACTTCCTCCCGCGCGAAAGCGACATGGAAGTTCCGCGAAAGCTCACAGGAGCATTTATGGGTGTGCTTTTTATTTCTTCTCACTCCGCATGGCGTTTAATGAAAATGTATGTGGCGTATGTGTGTTCTTTTCGGCTTTGCCCATAATTATGTGTACATAACTCATGGGTATCGCATTCAACATATCGATAGAGACGAGTATGCCTCCGGACTGAAACTGTGTGAGTCGCGCATTCGCGGGCTTCTCGAATTCAGGGCAAGGTTGTCGACTACCTGTGGCTATGTGTTTTGTGACCTGGGTCGATTCAGTGTCTGTGCAGTGAAAACTATAGAGAGAGCGAGAGCATTTTGCCCCAAAAACACGCCTCCAATCTACATACAAAACACCTTTTTTTCCCGCCACACGCGCCTCGGATGTTGGCACGCTTTTCACACGCCTCTATATGGAAAATCACATTGTCTGCTTTTCCGAGATTTTCAAGCCAAATTCCTCACATTGCTCACACATGGATTTATTGCAAATTCATTTACCAATTGTCCCGGAACTTCGTCTAGACTGAATATTCGAGAGACTGTGACCTCTACCATAGAAAGGATGTCGAGCATTATTATCCAAAATGCAAATTATGTCAGTAATAATACTTTCAGGAATTCACCAAATGAATTTACAATGTATTTTGTAACGCATTTTATGACAACACGAGGAGAATTTACACTTCCTTATCGTGAATTATTAAATTTACATTCCTCAAACCATTAAAGCTGTTTCATTTCTGGCCCAAAATGGGGAATTTTTTAACCCAATCCTTCTTGAACTCCCCAACATCACCTTAACATGGTTTTCTCGTTGGTAATTGTGAAAAATTCAGTCTCAATTTTCCCTGGCAATTTCCCTAATTACTCGCCCGATTGCCGGGCAAATGAGGCTCGTGGGCGGAGGAGGAAATCAGTGGGTAAATTGGATAGAAACGACGGCACGGGAGTGAATATTGCACACAGCATATCCATCAAGAGAGCAGTCGATATGGAGTGTTTTTCTACCGTCGAGCCGACCATGACCTGTTGGGTTTGCCTCTTGTCGGGCTCGGCGGAATTTAGGTCACACAGACATCGGGAGAATCCGGAAGCGGGAATCTCAGCCAGAGAGACGTATTGTCGTTTCTCTCGCTCAACAGGAAGAGGTCAACATGGTGAGGCCGCCCTCACGAAATGCCCCAATAAATTCCGTGCTCCTGCGCTGACCTTCATTCCTGCCGGTGGTTTTGTGCACAAATGGGACACACATTCTCCAGTCCCGGGGAATCAGGTCATAATCATATCCATTCCGATGGGGAGAATGTCGGTCGACAGGTTAGGGCCTCGAGCTGAAATTGCCTCACGGTGGGCGGGGGTGTAAAATCCCAAAATGCCATCAATGCCAGCAGATGGATGAGAATTTTTCACCCCTCGCGGCTGGCTTTCCTCACCGTCGCGACGTATGACTGGCAAGATTGCAGAGGCGCGAGAGAATAATTCATTTTAATTTCTACTGAAAGTTTTATCTCATGCAGCCAAGAATATGTCCTCATCCTCACGCTTCTCTCACGCGAAACTTTGTGGGGGCGCCGGAAAAATTCACAGTGTGTGTGATATCTTTGACATTTTCCCACCATTAATCAACAGATAAATTACCAAGGGGTTGCTCAGTAATAAATATCAGCGGCACTTTGTGGTGGAAATTAATTGCTCAGACGCTATACAAGTTTTGGGGGAATTTCTCTCTGTGAAATTTCATAAAACTCCACCCGCACACCACAAAACGTGGGAAGATTCTCATGTGCTCTGGCTTGAATGATGCCTTAAGATAGCAGAAATTCTTTTTGCACATACTTTCCAATTCATTAGCGATACTCCCTCGCAAAACTATCCACCGTGAAAATCATACAAAGCGACACACGCATTTGAGTGATGGTCTAACAAGGGCGTTTAGGCTAAAAGATGCCTGAATAAATTCCTCTGTGGTGATGCTCCCTTAAGAGTTATTGATGTCCCTGTTGTGAGCTTTTGAGGAAGCAAAATTCCATGAATCACATCAATAAATCTTTTACAGAGTCATTTAGCTGGGGCTATTAATTGTGTGAAACTTTCAAATACATCGCCCCAAGTGAGGAAGTCCATTGAGTGGGTGAAAAAGATTCATATCCCAGAGCAAAACTGATCTCTCTCTCCATTCCCCTCGGCGGAGTAATAAAGTTTAATTTCCCTAAAAGCTTCCAACAGCTTAAATTATGTCTCTTGCTCGTCCTCGAGGCGGTTTTTCGCGCGCTGTCCAAAGAAATCATCTCCATAACTTCTTGCGCTGATCTGATGGGCAATGTGACAAGAACCAGTTGATGGGCTCAAAACCAGACGCGTTAATTGTGACTTCGAAAGGGCTACTAATTAAAATTAGTGACACTTCAAGTACATTCAATTCACGCTTTTATTGAATTTCGGCCTTGCAAACTGTGACTGACGGATGCATGTTTTTATAATCACCATCGGCAGAGACACCCAGAATCCCATGAGATGTGGCCTGAATCCGGCCATGCAAATATTCGGACACCCCGAATTGTTATTATGAAATTACACTCAGTTTATTAATTCCTCTTAAACCGACAAATGGAAAAACGAGACTGCTTTCAGCACATAAAAATCTCCTGCACTCGTTTTACTCACTCTTAATAGTTTGCCCTACATTTTGTACAAGTTTCAAGGCTCGCGATTATTCAATGACCAATGTCAAGTTACAACATTCCTCCAATACTCCTGCTTCTGCTATGCAATTTTCTGCATTCGATACATTTCATTTGAGGAATACACTCTGTGTGGTATTTTTTATTTGCCATTCCTCACATTCTCAGCGTGCTTTTGGCACTCATTCGTGGTCAATGTTTTGGCCTGGGGCTACTCATTGGGAAAATGTGGGGTTCAACAGCCGACAAATTAATTGAATTTGTCGCAGTCTCTTCGCCATGCCAAGGAAGTGGAACATTGGCGAGAGATGCCGGATTATTCGCTCATTAGTTACATTTTCCACCGAATTAGCAGTATTTTGACGACAATTGTGTCGAACCTCATGCCCAATAAAAAGACTTTGCATATTTCTCCTCATATTCATAAACATCATAAGCTTCTTCAGAAGTATTTAATGCCTTGCTCATAAGAAGTAAATGAAACGAAACGCATTTGCGAGCAACAAACAAGACAATTGCTTTCATAAATTCATGTTTTAATTCATTAAGCATAATGTCCAGATACTTAAAATTCATATTATAATACGTCTTTTCCCCGTATCATAAATCTATGGTGAATTTTTTGGCAGTCCTCAACATTTGGCGAGTTCAAGTAATTTCTGGCAATTGTTCTTTGTCACAAATTCAATTATCCAGTATTTAATTTCTTCTGCGAGTCTCGCACTCCAATTCCACCACCCACGGCTTTCTGTGGAGGTGGAAAAAGTGCCGCTCTCTAAATGGATTACTGCAAATTTGTTGGCCGTGACAAGTTCAGGCTGTTCGGGCAGATCTCTTGGCCATTTGTCAGCCCGCCAGAGTGGAGTGAAGGGCAGGATTTCACTCGGATTCTCTCTCTCTTGCAGCCTGGATGTTGGGATGGCTGATGTGCAAAACCGTGCCCTACGTGCAAGGCGTCTCCGTGGCGGCGTCCGTATACAGCTTAATCGCCGTGTCACTGGACAGGTGAGTCACATGACTTAATCAAACTTTTCCCACAGAGAACTTCTCAGGTGGAAAACAATTTACCAGTCTTTTCCAACATTCATCAATTTATCGATGCTTTTAGATAAACTTTCTTTTCAATGGCGCACACATTGATGTGTTGACCTAGGAAAATTGGTGGGAAAAGCAAGATTTATTGCAGAAATAATTCACAATTTGTCTCACGAGCTTTCGAGCTTTTCTCCCCTCACAATATCAAATTCATTTTGAGCCCGTTTCTTTGGCCAAAAAAAGAAAAGAATTGCATTCTTGTGGTTTCCTATTTGCCCGCGGCAAGCTTTATATGGTGAACCCTCAAGAAATGCTGTAAAAATCTGGTGAAATCCCATAACAAAGTTATGCGATGCAGAACGTACGGAGCGCTCCTTGCCATGACGTTCATGATGGAATGCCCAAAGCTGTGCTTCTCTCGAAAATTACAAGGGACATGCTGGGAATTTTCTCTCTATACAGTGATTGTGGGTGGATTTTCGAGAGCGAGGGTGTAATAAATTTATCGGAATAATATGACAGTCGTTGACCCTGCAGTGTCTGCGCGAATTTTCGAGGAAATAGAGAAGCATTTCCCAGCACTGTGGAAGGGATTCTTTTTTCCACTCTCTCTCTTTCTCTCTATCTAGACCCTCAGATGTTGCTTGGGGTAATATTTTAAAATTTTCCGAAACACGCTCTGGCCGGGATGGAAGCGTGTTCTTGTCATGCTGGTAGTGAGACGTCCCGAAATAAATTATGAGAGAAAAATTGACCAGAGTGGAAATTAGTTATGGGAGGGAAAAAGCACGAGTTGGGCGAATATGAATGTTTCATGTGCGAAAAAGTGACTTAATGTGACTGGAGGAAAATTTAATGTCAATGTAATAGCCAGTTTTTTTTATTCACGAACTCGTAACACTCCAATGTACAACATACACTCTTTCGCCCATGAATTGGGTCAACCGATGGTGAGAAATCCATTTCAGAAAATACAAATGCGATCATGCAAATCGCATTTTGATTTACTTTAATTCCCACTCTTTCTGACCTTCTCGCGGCTCTTGATGGCTCTTTTCGGCGGACGTTTATCCAGTGAAACTATACAATTGCTTGTATTCTCGTTCCCATGTCAAATTAACATTAATCACGACAAAGTTGCCGCGAAGATTGCACCACGTCCAATTATTGATCACATGCGCTCTTTATATATATATATATCGTCAGAAAGGGAGAGTCGAAGAAAAATGCATCGAATGTGGATTGAATGGAAAACTGTTGAGGGTTTTTCGCAATAAATCCCGCGACAACACTGTCAATTCCATCATCATTTACTGCACACACCAAACCGCATATGGATCATGCAGAAGAATTCTCACTGCTGCCATCAATTATTGAGATTTCTCCGGAGGATCCTCAGTAATGGTTTTTGCAACGATTTATCATTCGAATGGATTAAGTACACACAAAATACAGTTCAATGTCACAAGCTTTTTCCATGTGTATCTTACAAATTTTAGTACAAATAGTCTATAAGGAAGCGTGACAAATCTTCTTTTCAGTTTCACAACTTCTCAATCGCAATAATATTAGCTGATCGCCCCTGATTCAGCGTGTTTTGGATCGAAAATCTCCGCGCAAAAGTGGCCAAAGTCAAGCAGATGTTATGCAGATGAAGAATGTGTTGCATGGCATGAATTGCCACCGGACGGCCAAGAGCAACATGATGCTGATGATGACGAAAACACACCTCACGTGAGTGTGTTTGCCTCTGCGAGGAAGATCAATGGGTTGTGTCACATGGAAAGACAAGAAATCTCTCTCTTGCTCGATACCCTCAATGTAGGGCCATCGATTGTGAAAAGATGGCACTTTGGCATTTTTGGCGACAAGTGTTTTTCAACAATATCTCATCGCACGATGCCCAATAAACTGCCCATTTATTATGTCGCGCATGAGAATCACGCGACGCTTGCAGAGGTGATTTATGTGCGATTGAAAACTTAATAACCTTACTGGGCCTCAGGAGGTCGTCGAGATCCATCGGAAATTTTGGCGTAATTATGCTGAATGGCAGTCCTCGTGTTTTCCACAGAGGACGGAGGAATTAATTGGACACTCTTGGGCGAATCTCTGTCAGAAGCATAAGTGCTCACGGTGGCGATTTATCGGCATGGAAAAGGAGCAAATTGTGCACAATAAATTTCATGCTCCTTGCCTGCCGAAGAAGTATAATCTCACCTTGTGCCTGACATCGCTGAAATACAGTTGAGGAATCGTAAATCAGACAATTCAAGAGTCTTCAGATTTACTTTTGTCGTCAGGGATTTCTTGACGAATTTTGCCATAAGGCATCCACAATATCTTCATATTGGCTTTCGTGTGAAAAATTGCTGCCGCAATATTGATTAATTGCTGTGATTTTCAATCATATGCAAAGTTATTCATCAATGAATATTATAAATATTACTCAAAGTCCACCAATTAGGCACGTTAAAGAGTATTGAGAGACACGATTAATCGGAAGGCTTCTGGAAAAGGCATAAATTTCAAGAAATACTGAAACACTCAACATTCAATATTCAAATGATATGCCAATCTTGCACCCTCTCCTTCTTGCTTCTGATTTAATATCGTGCGGAATTGATCCGAATCACCGGAAGTTGAGCTTTTTCTTTCCCTATAAAAACATTTCGGTCATAGAGACGATAGGGGCAATTCCGAACATTATTTCCATCAAGGTTAGACCCTGAATCACGCCAATTTTCCATCCTAAAGCACTCCAGTCTTCGCTATGGCTCACATTTTCGTTCATGATGAGCGGGAGATGGAAATTTTACGAGGCGAAAAAAGCACGAGGTAGACAAATTTTGTTATGCCTCAAGAAGTTTCTCTCGATAGTTTGTGATGTGTGCAATATTGTGGGGCGACACATATAAAAAGTATATTGATGGATTCGTCAGTGGGTGCCCTTGAAGACGATATCTCTGCGGCGGCTGTTTGAGGAAGTGGGTGACATACTGTTGGGCAGTAACTCAAGGTGCTGCATTAAGATCTCACCCGAGATATTGGGTATCGCTGTGGTTTTCACTCCACTTTTTGCTACATCGCTCTTCACGCCGAGAGCATATCGTTGGCTTTAAAATATCAACAAGTTACACCGCATCTAATGAAAACTAATCTTCCAGTTCATTGAATATCAAAAGCATCATCGATGGAATTCAATCTGCACTCAGTATAAAACCCTACTGCATCTCATGTTAATTTTCCTCCCCAGCTTTTTTTGCTGGCCTCTCGAGAAAGCTCATTTTGTCGTCTGCGGCTGGGACCATTATCATCTCATTTGTAGCCTTGTGCAGAAAGCTCAATATGAGTTGGAGATGGCTTCGCATGAAAGCACACCGAGTCAATTGCTTCTGTAGGAATTCTTGACGATGGCAATTGAGACGCAAACAAACTATAAAGCTTTTTCAAAGTTTCAGTCCTGAATGGCATTCTCTTGAGCATTGAAATTTAAATAATGCCCAAAAGAAGAACTATTCGCCATTCTGTGTGTCTTCATATTTTTGTACAAGCTCTCCCACACTTTATCGCTATTGTATGAAAGTTCGGACGCAATTAGTCAGACTCTCGAATCAAAGAGAGGCCCAAAATTGTGGCTTCCCGCCTCTTTGCGGTGATCTCTGGAGAATGGCAATTAATTACGAGCGATTGGGAAAGCAATTGAGGCATTTAATTGCACCCTTCTAGCAATCAAAAATGCTAATTTCTCAATTCAACTCGAGAGCGGGAAGCTTTCGCTTAGAAGTCATACGTGCAATAATTGAGAAATTATACGCGTCAACCTCATGCATTAATTGTTCCATTATCGCTCTTGTTGTGACAGTGAATGGTATTATCTCGCTTTTTTCCCGTCAATGCTTCCGAAGGAACAAGAAGAAAATTCCCTCCACGCCTCGGCCATTCCTATTAATGGCAGTTTTTCTTCGCTTTTCCACCCACATGCTGAAGATCCCAGCAAAAACCGAGAGCTTTTGGCCCCGAAATTGTCTGCAAAATAGTGTGTGAATGCTCAGAAAAAGTTTGCTCTCCCCCAAAAACAACTCAGTATTGTAGCAAGAGCATATTGTGACGCTTCATTGACTTGTTTTTATGTGATTGCTCCTTCTCTCTCTTGTTGGACTCTCTGAGAAGCTTAAAGCTCCAGAAAGATTTTCAATCACATGTGCGAAAGTTTCCGCAAAGATGCCCCAGTGGGTGGGAAGATTAGCAGCAAGTCCACAGAATCAGATAGAGAGATAATAAAGCAATCAAAGTGATATCATTTTATTGATATTATCACTGAAGAAGAAGAAACTGCTTTGTTACTTCACATTACCATATGTCTAATTCCTCTTCTCCATGGCGTTCTTTTATATGAAGAATAAGGAAAAAAAAATCGAATCGTCTTTCAGTTTCTATACCGGATTTCAAATAATTCCTGGCCAATTAATTGCGATGTGGAGGAAGAAAAAACACATAAGATGACATAATACACATTAAAACTCGCCTGTAAAAAGCTCGTAATCAAGCATTTTTTGTACTGCCAAAGTCTCCTCTAGCACACCTCTAAGCTAGAGCTCTTGATCTTTCCTGAAATCAAATGAATCTATCAAAGTGAGCATAGAAACGAGTTTCTTATCTCACTGCCAAACCATGGACTAATGTTGTGAAAAAAACGTGCACGCAGCTTTCATTCTTGACATTGAGTCGCGCCGTGCGAAATTTATGTGAGACGATCTCACGTGGATTAATGAGATCAACGATGTGATTTTAATGTCAATGGAGAGCATAAACAGAGGATATTTATTGGAAAATTGGAGGTCTCTTTGTCCACTCGATGATGTGTTTTTTATTCCCCGCCACTCGCAGTAAGTCACAAATGCACAATTTACATGCCATCAAGTATGAATTGAGTTGTACAATCTTTTTCTCGTGCTCACTGTGAAGGTTCAGCGAGTGGAAGTGCAAGGCTCACTCCTCAGCAAGAGCTGCTGCTTATCCTGCACCCATCTTTCAGTGAAAGTCACATCTTCTGAAGGAAATTCAACACAATGGATGGCTAATTACGCACAAGAGGGGAATGTTCTTGAGTGATAATGGGTATTTTCTTCCTGAAAATGTACCGCAAAGGTGGTAAATTGAGGAAATTGAGTATGAAAGCTCCCGTTAATCATAATTAAGCGTTTGAGTTGAAATTGCCAATAAAGTATTGACAACGCATGTAAACAATTTCGAAACACCTTCTCGTGCATAATTTGCATATAAACCATTCATTTTGTTCGTTGGCAAACGTGCCTGATTTATATGCACTCTAAATGAGACAATCCAATTGGATTAAGCGACAAAACGCGTCACTTAAACATCTCAGATCTGCCGCATAAATTGTGATAAATGCCTTATTAATTTAAGCGAAGAAATCATGTCTCTCTCTCTCTGTGTCCCGTGAAGGTGAAAATTTGCCACTGACGCGAGAGATTGTCGTCAAAGAACACGCGCGGAGGAGATTCTAAGTTTGGAGAATAGTTTGGCGGTTTTTTTACACTCGATTGGGGCGGATTTGCTAAGAGGAAGATTCAATTTAGAGGTCGTTCATCCACGAAAAAGCGAGATTTTTCTATAGTCGCCTTCATATTCATTTTATTGCATCATTCTTTATCATATGTTGTACAGATCTTTTTTATGCTTTTCGGGTTTTTGCCTCTCTTCGCCTATTCCGAAAAAACGAGTATATTTATGCTGAGATGAAGCGAGGCGGATAAACACGGGCTAAATTTCAGCTCACGAGTTTCCTAACCAGAGGAATTTACACACAAAAAGCCTGCCATAAATATAAACTTGAACTGCTTTAAGATTCCTTTTGGCTTACTTGACAGCGTCAGCGAGCTTAAATTGTCGTTCTTATGGCTTGAGCCAGAATGATTTGTCAGGCCCGATCTGAAGAGAGTCTCTCCCCTTGGGTGATAAATCATCAATGAAATTTAACAATCAATTCTTCAGGCCACAATAAAAGACGCATAATAAACTTTTTGCCCGCCGAACCTTCAGGTGTGCTTTTGTGGGAGAAACACCACCCAAACAAGATGAATGTCTCGGGCAAGTCTGATGGAAAAGTGTCGGAAAAAAATTTCGTGGTCAATCTTTTTTGCCTCCGGGCATGCAAATGCCGATGGACCAGTGCGTCAAGTGTCGGCTGACCTCTAATCCATCTCTTTGGCGCCTCGCAGTGCGTGTCTTTGTTGGCTTGTTGAGGGAGAGACAAAAAGCCTAATTGGTGAGCTTTTAAGTCAGGCTGGAAAATCTAATAATAGTTTCCTCGCTCCATGGCAATTCCTCGTTGGCTTGACGGAAAATATAATATAATCTCCGCGCGCCGAGAGGTATTTACTTTAAGAGTTAATGACATGATTGATCACCTGCGTTTCAGAGCCGATGAATTGTGGTACTGACACAATTTCGTAATGGTGACATTTAATGACTCCACTTTATGTATGATCTGTAAACACAATGGAATTGGTTGGGGGATTAAGTGACACTTGCTTTCTGCCTAGATCGAAGAAACTCTCCTTCCATGTCCAAAACCTTCTTCAAGATTAATTCAATAACCAGCCCTAAATGGCCAACATCACGAGGCTCGACGTTTTCGTGGCAATTATAATTTATTATGGATTGAGACAAGTTTTCGGCCAATTAAGCGGTCACGCTGAGGTCCTCGATGGACATATATCACATCCAATATTTGTCACTCGATGAGATTTTTTTGAAGTGTTTATCGCCTGAGTGCACTGTGTCAATAAAGTGAAGCGTAACGCCGTATTTGTCTCACAGTGATTACCATACCAGCACAAGATCATTTTCAAGATCACTTTTTCTTTCATTTGTGAGTGATTAATCGTGTCATAATCGATCCCACCGCCAAAGTGAGACGCGAGATAAATCATGGAAACACCTCGGGATTCACGTGTGGTGGACACAACACACTTGCAGCCGCACATTTATGTAATCATCTCAAGACGATGCTTTATCCCCCCCGCGCGCGCGGAGGATCGAGTCCGATAATCACCCAATTGACTCGCACTGCAACACGATCGCGGCTGAGGTGTGATATAAAAGGTACGCTGGATGCTGGAGTCAGCATCAGTTACCAGTGAGATTTTGCTGTGTTCACAAGTTTGCAAAAACCAAAAACCCAACCGACAAAATGTTCAAGCTCGTACGTATTTAGCGAGTTCTTGAGTGTCTCGAGTGGTTGCTAATCTGTCGTTATCGTTCAAGTTTGTCCTCGCCACCGTCCTGGCTCTGGCTGCCGCTGCCCCAGCTCCCGGTGTTGTCGTGTCCAGCCCAGTGGTGCACACCCCTGTGGTCGCCCACGCCGTCCACCCCGTGGCCGTGAGCCACTCCTCCAGGTAAGCCCGACCCACGCTCTAGCCTAGAGAAGACTCTCACGCTGTCTCTCCGCAGCCACGTCGTGCACCACCCCGCCGTCCCAGTGGTGAAGACCGTGCACGCTCCTCTGGTTCACGCCCCAGTCGTCCACGCCGCCCACGTGCCCGTGGTTAAGACCGTCGTCCACCCAGCCCCAGTTGTCGCCCACCACGCCGTCGCTCACCACGCCGTCGTCTCCCCCGTCGTCCACCATGCCCACCCCGTTCTCGTGCACCACTAAGTGACGCCGCAGACGGAGAAGCGCATCTCAAACACCCCATGCAACAGACACCCCCCGTGGAGAACTGTGCAAAGTCGCTAAATTAAGTTACACAAAGATCTTGAATTTCTCTGAATGGACATACAAAACCTCTGAAAATTCTTAGAAAAAAATAAATCCACCTCTATCAACGTTACACGGCAATCTTTTACTGCATCTAATTTTGTAATAATCGTATTTCAGGAGTGAAGCCAAATTTAACGGAGAATTGAAAGAAAAACTCAGGCAATATACCAAGTGAAGAGTTCTTCACAAAAACAGTCGCTTGAATTGTTTTTCTCGCTACACCAAAGTGTTGAAATTTGATGGAGAGCGCCTTTGAGGCACTAAGTGAGAGACAATTTCAGGAAATTGAAAGAATTTAATTATCCCCAGATGTTCCCATTTCCACCCTCATTTTGCCACCCTGTAATTAAAAGCTTTCTTTATCTCCAGACCCGCGCAAAATGGTTTTGATTAATTGGACAGGCGACTCCAATTTCTTTTCGCTTGTTCTTTTCCTCGTTTGATGATCTCCTCGAACGGGTCGCGCGTACACGAGGAATTGTCATGAGACATTTGACACACATTCCCTTGTCTATTTGCGTGAAAAATTCTCCAATGGCAAATTTTAAGTGTATTTTGAGGAGAAAACGTTGCGCATTTTACGCTCTATTTCTCGGCATGAGAATCATAGTTTGAAAATGTGCGATGTTGGGTGGAAAATTTTCCTCAATTCCATCTGCAGACGTGACCACAATTTCCCGGGCGTCATCACTCAAATCTCTTTCACGCGACATGGCCAAAGTAAATTGCACAAGTCCCAAATCAAACATAGAGAGAAGCAATAATGCCATCAAACTTATCAATTAATGCTTTCAGACACTGTTTGTCCTTTGATATTTTGTCTCTCGCATAAGAAAACACAGATAAAAGGCGCCGAACCTTTCAAGAACCATCCCCATATCTCAACAAATATCTTTATTAAATATTCTTATGGCATACGAAGAAGTTGTGCTACATTGAAAAGAAATTTTCTCGGTGATGAATGTTTTTATGGGCGGAGAGCCTAGAAATGAACGAGACGCATGCAAAATTTCCAGGATATTAGATATTGGTCTGGGCGTTTTTCATCTTTCACAGAATTTCTTTTCCACTCTCACTTCCTCACCCACATTCTCTACCTTCAAAGGCGAAGAGATGGTGGGTGACTTTGCAGAGTGCTTATATTCGCTCAATCTTCAGCCACAATCCATTTTCCGGAGCGAGAATGGCACTACCCACGGAATAAACCATTGGAATAGGTGTTCTAGATGTCACAGCTATCTTGTACTTGCTGAGCAGTGTTGCCAGTCCAATGCGCATCTGCATCATGCCGAATCTGATGCCAATGCAATTTCTGGGACCCTCGCCGAATGGCAGCCAAGAGTACGGATGCCGATTCTTGATATTCTCTTCCGTAAATCGATCTGGATCGAACTTATCTGGATCTGGATATATTTCAGGGTCACGATGAATGCCAAAGATGGGAACATTGAACGAAGTGCCCTTCTTGAAGACCACTTCGCGATCCGGAATCTTGTAATCTTGCGTCAAATTTCTCGCCAATGTTGGTATAATCGGATGCATTCTTAGTGTTTCCTTGATGACTTGATCGACATACTTAAGTTCCATGCAAGCCTCATAAGTGTACTCTTGGTTGTACTTCTCAAGAACACTGTGCACTTCTGCTCTTGCGCGATCTTGAATCTCCTTATCTCTCGCCAACTCGTACAGCGCAAAAGTCATAGTGGAGGAAGATGTTTCGAAGCCAGCAATGAAGAACAGGAATGTTTGAGCTGCCAACTCATCAAATGTTATCGTTCCCAAATCCACTCCATCATCATCCAATTTTCCAGTGTTCTTGATTTGAATCATGAGCGACAGGAAATCATTCCTCTTCACGTTGTTCTTCTCTCTGTAGTCAATAGTCTCTCTCAAGACGCCCGTGAAGAACTTCGACACATCATCTTTAGTGGTCTTCATGCGCAAAGCTCGACCAAGATTGGGAAACATTCCCAAGAAGCAGAATCTCAGGAATTCCAAGTCCGTGAACTGGAAGGCTTTCTTGCCCATCTTTCGAAATTCTGTGTCTGGATCCTTGAGACTATTGCACTCAATTCCGAAAGCACAACTTCCGATGACGTCCGTTGTGAACCTGGCCAGAATATCTCTCACTTCGATTTCTGCCTTCTTATCCGCGAAGCTCTCGAAGTACTTCTGGAACTCAAGTGCCACAGCTACAATTGTCCAGTGCATCATCTTCATCTTTCCCGTGGTGAAAGTTGGCGTGAGTTTGTTTCTCAGGCGTTTCGATTTGTGTCCAGGAAGAAAGAAGATGTGTCCAGACAGAGGATCATCCTTCTCATTAACGTAAATTCCGCGATCTTGAAAGTACTGAAAGTCCTTAACCAGCATATTTCTCAGCATATCCAAGTTCGTGGTTATAACGACGGGTTTTGTAAAGTAGAAAATGCCAGCGAACATTTCTTTTTCCGTGAGCTTCTTGAACCTCGAGTACACTTCACCAATATATATGCCATAGTGCACTTTAGTGCCGACTCCCCATAAATTTCCGAGGGGAAATTTCGGCAGCACATAAGGAATGCCCTTTTCCTCGAAGAATCTGTACTGCTTTCTCACCCACAAATATCCAACCACAACAAATGTCACAACACTCAGAACAGCTAAAGTCCAATCCATTTTCCAAAAAAGAACTGATTCAGTCAATTTCTTCTGTTAAACTGATGATTTCCAAAAATTGTGTCAATATAAATTCAGCGATTTCCAAAAAATTTAACTATTCTCTAGAGGGTCTTCCAGATTTTTAGCAGTTGGCAGTGACATTGTGAAGGGCGAATACAAAAGTGAGCAAATATGGAAATGAGTGAATTGCTATATTGCCCTTTTTGTCGACATGTCCTTGTGGGTTTGATTTCCACACTAAATCTCATTATGTAAATTTCCTCGTCGCATTTTTCACAAATTTTATAATACTTTATTTCATTATTAATATGCAATTGGCGTTTGAAGAAAAGGTGCGCTTGTTCTCTCAATCTCTAAATTCAATTTGCTTTCCGCCGCGTGATCTTGAATATGAGTTTAATGCGGAATTCTACACCTTGTGCCATGATGTTCCCTGTGTTGAAAGGTTGTCTTTTGACAATGGTTTTGTGAACAGAGTTAAGCATTTCCAATATATTTAATGAAATATTCATTAGTCGAATGAAGTAATCTCAAGAGAGCAGTTCTTCCCATAATGTCCAAATAGAAAAACAATTTCTGCAAATAATCACTGTCTCGCTCGTTAGCACTCCACGTGGTCTTTTGGCTCTTAATCTCACTGTCAAGTGGCTAATCTTGCAGCCTCTCAACTCTGCTTGACAAGGAATTGGGTGAAAAAGTGCCTGCGGAACGACTCAACAGAATCTCTCGAGCATTTTGCAATTAATCGATGGAATTGACATGGCGTGTGTGTGTGTGGGATTATACATTCACTTTTATTCGCCACCCAATCAATGGAAATTGTCCAACACATTAGACACACGGCTCACCGTCATTTTTCCCATTGTTCAGCACAAAACTCTTTGTTAAGCGGCAGTTCAAGGTGTTCCATCCCAGCCTTTCATCGCAATCATTTCCTTATCTCTCAACTCCGCACGTGAAGGATTAATCACATGGAAAACATGCGTCACTCTTGCGATATCATCGCCCTCGTGTCCCGAGAAGCTCTCCCGTGCTGAGGAGAAAAGTGAAAATCTGTCTCTGCGGGATGAAGAAAATTGAAATGCCAGACTGTCTCTTGTCTGCTAATTTATTCGTCCAGCTTGTGTTCTTTCATTGACGAGTTATGTGCAAGTCGCGGATTGATGATGGAATTAATCTCGAGACGAAATGAAAGTTACAAGGCTAAGGATGGATGAGAATAGTGATGGACTTGGCCAAAATCCACTTATCTCAATCATTTAATCTTCCACAGCCACAACTTCTCGTCTGCCTCTTCCTTCCTCAAAAGCAACTCATCATATCAAATGTTTCAAACGCCCAAAGCGTCCATATCGAGAGCTTTGAGACGTGTAAATACAAAACTTTTTCTCCGCCTCTATAGTGAAATTGTTCTGATACAGAAAAGAACATCACCATCAAAATCGATATAAAAAATCATTAAGATCATAAAAGTGACGCTCTTGAAAAGACAAAATATAAAATATTCCACATTCCCGCGATATAATCAATGTAATGTTCGATAATGGCTTTTCAGAGGCGCATTTATTACTTATAGCAATATAATTCTTTGAAAATGTTTTGCTGAGACATATTTTACCGATAGTTCTCGTGTCTTTTCCGCCTCTATTGCCTCCAATCAATTAAGATGCAAGAGAACTGCTCTCTTACATCATACTTCAGCCTCGAAAAACTAACTGGATGTCCGTCACTTACAGATTCCTTGCCATTTGGTGGCCTCTCAAGCTTCAGATCACGAAGAAGAGAGCGCGCCTCATGATTCTGTGCATCTGGATCATTGCACTGACGGCCACGATTCCTTGGGCGCTCTTTTTCGAGCTAGTGCCCTTTGGCACGGCGCCAAACGCTTCTATAGAAGCGAAAGATATCCAGCTGTGCCTGGAAGTGTGGCCACCAGGCACAGATGGGGCGCTATATTTCCTTCTGGCCAACCTCATCTCGTGCTACATTCTGCCAATGCTCCTCATCTCGCTGTGCTACATCCTGATCTGGGTGAAGGTGTGGCGCAGGAGTATTCCAGGTGACTCCAAGGATGCCCAAATGGATCGCATGCAGCAGAAATCTAAGGTAAGAAAGTCGAGTATCGCGATGGACTCATATTAGCTTAGAGGTGAGTGAATTTCCTAACCCCCATCGATTTCAGGTGAAAGTGGTCAAGATGCTGGTGGCCGTGGTGATTCTCTTCGTCTTGTCTTGGCTTCCGCTCTATGTAATATTTGCGCGGATAAAGTTTGGCGGGAACATGAGTCCCAAGGAGGAGGAGATCTACCAAGTGGCCACGCCAATCGCTCAGTGGCTGGGCGCCTCCAACTCCTGCATCAATCCCATCCTATATGCATTCTTCAACAAGAAGTACCGCCGTGGTTTCGCCGCCATCATCAAATCGCGCTCCTGCTGTGGCCGCCTAAGGTATCATCTTGTGCCCGAGGGCCTCCACTCTTTGACAATTAAGTGCGGCATCTTGCAGGTACTACGAAAGTGTGGCCATTCCATCGTCCTCCACGAGCACTCGCAAGTCGTCGCACTACCACAACAATCAGAGCTCCACGAGGAAACCACCGTACAGCCCAACGATCAAGAGCGACGCCGTGTCGTACATCTGCGAGCACAATGGTAAGAAACACATCGCGAAGCAGGACAGCAACTTGTCGCGGCAGATGCTGCTCAAGCAGGACAGCAATGTGTCCAGACAGTCGCTGTTGAAGCAGGACAGCATCGGATCGAGGCAGAGCCTCACAAAGCAGGACACGTGCAGCACTGTGTCGCGCCAAGACAGCAACAATTCGCGGCAGATGCTGCTTAAGCAGGAGAGCAACGGGTCCAGGCACATGCTCTCGAAGCAGGATTCGCAAATCTCGTACATTGACGCGAAAAAGGGACAGCTGATGAGGCAGGACTCGGATCTGGCCAGACGGGGTCTGTTTAAACAGGACAGCACCATCTCCTACATTGAGCCGCGGAAGGGCGTTCTGTGCAAGCAGGACACGCAGATCTCCTATCTCGAGAGCAAGAAGAACTCCTTGAGCAGCCAGGACAGCGTTGTGAGTTTTATAGAGCACAAGCGACACCAGCTAGTGAAGCAGGATTCCATCATGTCGTACGCGGACAAGCCAGGTAATGTGATTCATGAGTGTGATGAGGATGCGGATGAGGCTGACTCTTGTGTGAATTGCAGTGCTTGTGAAACAGGACTCAGTCATATCGTTCGCCGATCAGAGGCGTGGATATCTCACGAAGCAGGACTCTGTGATAGCCTATCCTGCCACCAGACACGGTGAGGGTCATCACGTGTCCATCCTCAAGAAGACAGACTCACAGGGTAGCTCGCCGAGTCGCAAGACAATTGAGTTTATCTCACAGTAGGACGACTTCATCCCTTCTGCGTCCCTTGAACCTCGCCAACCCACTTCTCTCCACCACATTCGCGAGGGTCCGTGGACGCTCACTCCCCAAACCCGCCCCTTAGGCCTCCCTCGAGGTCCAGGTGTGACTGGCAGAGTTGGAAGTAGTGCGTAGGAAAATTCCTCCAGACCGAGATCGGGATGAAATTTCCACCTTTTGGTGCTAATCCGAACAGAACGTTGACTTGAGTTGAACTCCCCGAGAGGCATTGATAAAATATGAGGTCCTTTTAACATTTCGTTAGCAAAGAAAGATTAATTCAGGATCAAATGTTTTCCACATCTAGAAGATGTGGAAAATATTTGGTCACAGACAGATTTAACCAGAATTCTCTAGACCAAATGAGACCATCTTTGCTTTCGAGGAGTTAATTTTTCCTTTTCTGTAGAGTTAAACATTCGTGCCTTCTTATCTCACAATTGAGGCATTTTTAAAAGAAATTTTTCCAATACTTCAATAGTTATTTCAATATGATTTTCCAACATGTGAACGGAAATTTCATCCCTTATCCTCAATCTGGAATCATTCCAACTCTGGTGATTGGTTTAATTGAATTGGTATTTGATGAATTGAAGCAATTACTTTGTTAAGAGTAGATAGAGAGTGATTTTCCGAGAGTTGTCTCTAATTTAGAGTGTCTGACTAGTTTCTAATACAGACGCAGGTCGTCTTCATGTAGCAAATATAAATTTTTATTCACCAAAGAGATTAATATGTAATTGTAAAACCTACTGCCCGAGCTAAACTGCCCAATATATTTTCACCAAACTCTCCCGCCAATTTGGAGCGCTGACAAAATGAGAATTATATCCATACAGTTGAAGATGAAACAATATTTAAAGAATATAACAATAATTAGCCTAAATGTTAAGTGCATGATAAAATAACTGTATAAATGTACAATATAGAGAAAAACTTATACGAGAACATTTCTTCAACATACTTGTATAAATGTGTATGAAAATTTAGTGTTAATCGCTTAAGAAATTAGTCTCTCTGTAGTGAAGAAAAGAATAATTAATTGACACTTTTAGGAGAACGAGCAGCTTAAAGTGTTTCAGAACTCTTTAAGTAGAAGCCAGAAGAGATGATGACAGAATTTGAAAGATAGATGGATTTTGTTAGGTGTAGAAAGTCAAACTAGCATTAAATTTGCAAAAGTGTTTAGGTCAAATTACAATAAATGACATTTTAGAAGCTTTATTTTCGACTAACAAGAAAGGGCATTCTTTTCGGTTGTTTAACTCCTAATAATAGAGAAATTCGTCATAATATATAGAACTACATAGTTGGAAAGTCAACCAAGACTTGTGGAAAGATTTTAGGAATCACTACAATTCATATATAAAAATAGTGGATATTGAGAAAAAAAAATATATGTACGATGTACGCACACTTTAGCACAAAAATGTTCCCAGACGCGACGAAGGCAGGCAATTCAGGGCTGGAAGTGTAGAAACGAAGGCATAGTTCTTGAGAATAAATGTAAAATCGTGTAAAACACCCAAAGGAACTTTACCAATAAAATATTTGTAATCATATTGAGAATGAAACACCAAAAAATGTACCATAATGCTGAAATTGTTGAAAGTATAACTATCTATTAAAAATTATACTTACCAAGTTAGAAAAGGAAGATTTAAAAAAAATTGTCAGTATTGATGAGAAATCTATATTTTTGTATCTTTGAAGAAAAAAAAAAACAAGAGGCGTAAAGACGTGATATTTCGTCACGTGTGATAAAGAGAAGGATTTATCGAGAGGAATATCCATTCAGACAATTACAAATTTCACGGATAGAGCAGAGAATGGTTGAATCTTAGGAGATTAATAGAAGAAGAGACATATTTTTACACTAAAAAGAAATGACAATTTACATGAAAAAGAATGGCAAAAAGGTATATTAAATACTACAATGACATTTCCTATGTATTCTATGTACATAAATGTTAATAATTTTATTCTCCTCATTTTCCCCCTCAATTCATACCATATTTGTAAGGAAGATTTAGCAGAGATTAAGATGGGATCCTCGAGTGATCGTGCGTGAGAAGTGTGAAAGAGTGAATGGAGAAAATTGTTGACAGGCAAATTTGCATCTTCTTGTGAATTTTCAACATTCTGTTTCTATCTGGCGATCTGTAATCTGTCTCCCAATCTTTTCCCCATCCCCCAAAAAATTCGGAACATCTTGTACAAAAGAGAATTTTTGAATTTTGCAAACCCGCTCTTCTAAATTTTCAAACCCCGTCTTTTAGCGAAATTAGGGGTGCTATTCTGGATAAGCGATTTATCAGTTATTATTCTGTTTACCCTATCCTGAAACTCCCATCAACCAAGTGTTTATATTGTCTCCAAATATTCCATTTTATTCAATGTGTTTTGGTTTACATTTTGGCAAAATATCAAACTATTTACGCTTTGTTTTAAAATTATGTTGTTGCACCTGCACTTTGAGTTCTTTTTTTCTTTGTCTAAATCACTTTAAGTTCCTTTCCGCAATGGCACCGTAGAATTGGCGACAAGCGTTCTATTGCAAAGCACGAAATGGAATTGAGTATGTGAAGTGATTGTGAATGAGCAATTTTGTTAGAGAATCTGAGATTGTGAGAGATTTGGGATAATTTAGTCAAAGGTCAGGAGAGTTAGAAGGAAAATCTAATAAAATAAATGAATTTGGATAATTTTAGTGAATAAACATGGAGAGGAAAAACCTTGTGTAAAACTCCTCTAGACAGAGATATTTGAAATACAAATTTATAAAAACAAGAAACTACGGAAAAAAACGAGGAAAAGGGTACGTGCCTATTGAAATAAGAATTGAACAACCAAATATTCCATTGCATTTTCTACTAATTCATATTGCAAATAAGTGAACATGGGAGAATCTTTGAATACTGCTAACATGCGAGGTGTGTTATTTGAATTTTACCCTAAATAGATGACAAATGTGAACAATCCAGAAACTTCATTCCAACAATACTTTTTTGATGCGTACCCAAAAGAAAGCAAAGTAATATTATCCAGAACAAAATGCAAAGAGAGGCGAAACGCTTCCAAATTTAGTATTGGAAGACAGATGACAAATAAGGTATTTTAGAGATTATATAAAAAAAAATTACAATGTTCAACATGAATTGTAATCGTAACGAATTTTATCAGCATGAGAAATTACTCATTTTGCCATTTTTTGCGTGAAACTAATGAGAATTTACGTGGTGAAAGTGGAATACAATCAATTTTTTGACTTTTTGAACATGAAAAAATTAACTCTGAATACTCCTAATATAGAAATAAAAGTCTTATTTGGACATTTTGCACTCTCTCTGCGTATGATAAAAGTAATTGGCATGTTGTAGAGATTGAATGTGACATTGACAAAATATTTTAATGGAAAATTGGCGAATCTACAGCAGAAATCTGGATCAAAAACTCCATATTAAACTCTAATGTGAAGAATATAAAACATTACATAATGAAAAAAATGCACCACTAACAAGTAAATGCCTGTTTAGAAGTCACAAGGAAACGTCTATTAATGTATTGATTTACCTGAAGATATCACAAATGAGTACAAGATGGTATTTATTCAGTTCTATGAGGTGTGAGAAAAATTCTGAATTCTCAATGATGGCAATAAAGTGTCGAGGAGAGTTATTTTGATAAAATCCGCCCAACGATGTTTGCGTATCAGAATTTTTCACAAATCACCTTTTTGAGCCACTAATGTGTAATTACAAAGTAGCACTGTATGTTTCAACGAGTAAATAGATGGATTTTGAGAAAATGGTACATATCGACATATTCAATATGAGAAATAAACAACTTATTGACTGAAATCATATCATAAAATTCTACTTGATTTTCCTCCCTTCAGCGATAGAGAGTTGAGATTAAGATTTTCAAGGAAAAAAAGAGTGTATAATGAGAGCAATTAAGTACTCCCCCAAAATATAACCATCAATAGAGCATTTTCCCTAAAATAACATAATCTGAGAGATCTTAACTCATCAAATTGCTTTGACCTACAAACTAATAATTAAGCAAAGATGATGACTACAAATAAAAAAACCATGAACAGCGCTTCTCCGTAAGAATAAAAAAAAATGAAGAAAAAAATACAGTAAGAGAAACAGCATAAAGAAATAAAAATAACCATAAAATATACTAAATATAGGAAATATGTAAACGAAAGAGAAAATTAAATTGCTTTCCAGAGAATAATATTTGAGCATAAACTGATGAAGATTAGAACATTATAGGCGTAAAAAGAGAATTTGAAATGAGAGAAATTCCTAGTGAAGTAAGGAGAAATGAGGTGAAAGTAGGAGTTTTATTTAAGGTATGACGAATCATTTAATTTTCTATACAAATGCGCTGCAATCAGCACAAAATACATGTTAATTTAACCAAATCAAACAAGTACTTAATAAATATTACTGGTAAAATTACCGCAGTCTTTTAAAATAAGATCATCACCATTATTCTAGCAGACTGTTGGAGTTCAAATTCAACCGTTTCGCCGCACATCGCCACGAAGTGTCAAGGTCATGGTACCTCATAGTGGAGCCAAAAGTTGTGATTGTTGACTGATTGTTTCTCAATGTTCAGACGTGTTTTGTTGCGGAATCATGAGCCTCCAGACGCCTCAATCCGCAGATACTTTCCTCGCCCTGTGGCAAAGTTTGTATGGAGTGCTGAAGAAGGAGGAAGAGCGTTCTTTACAGGAGTTATTCGGCATGATCCGCTCTTCGCTCATCTTCGAATCACCGGGCATATTTCCGGACAAAATGCTATGTCCTGCTGACCAGAATCGCACGGAAGCATGCACTTTCTGGCTCACGCAAAGGCTCTTTCACGTTCTCACTCAAGAGCGATTCACTAGGTGGGTTGCTTCTATTAAAATCTCCCGGTCGGTAATCTAACCTCAATGCTTGTTTTGATTCCGGTCAGGATTCAGGATGATGTGCTGGCATTGCTGAAAGATGTCCTCGCCGGGTGTCTGATGAAGCAGAGATGGTTGTTCAGTAAATTCGTGAACAGATATTTGAAGCTGTTTCGAGATGTCATTGCTTTGAAAGCACATGAAGAACTAGAAATCAATCATTTTATATCGACTAAGTTCGATTTAAGAGAAATTGACGCCACAATGAGCTTCGATTCCGTGAGAATCTCCGCCGGAGCACCTGCTAGGAAGTTTCTTGACGTCCTGATGCAGATTCTGACAAGTGTGCTGTATGAAATTCACCCAATCTGTGCTCGAGAAGTGGAGGAAGCTTCGATGTTGGCTTTGGAAGTTCTGAACAATGGGTATCTTTCCTCGAAGTTATACGCCTTGGAGTACTTCAAGAAAGTCTTCAGCAATGCCGTGTCTGAACTCACTCCCACGCAGAAGACTTATCAACTCCGTGTGTTGCTGGCCATTGACAATATGCTGAAGAAATTGCCTTTCTGGCTGAGTATGGAGAAGAACAGAGAGATTATTGTACACAGATTTAAAAATACTGTCATGGACATCTTCGAAGTCTACAGGACGCTAATCAGCGGTTCCCACAAAAAAGACTGCAAAATGTTCCTCGTGGCTTTACTGCAGATAATAAGCACTTTCCAATCTGTAAACGAGCGACTGAGTGAAAAATGGAAAGACTGCGATAAGATGTTCATCTATGGAGAAGAGTTGATTTCTCATTCTTCTTTGGACCTTGAAGAAGAGCAGATTAGAGAAATCCTGGGTCTTATGCTGAAGAACTATCAAGTGATAAAACTACTGGAATTGACCGTAATTAAGGAGGCCAAACATGAAGTGGGATTTTACGATGTCTTCAATGCGAGTCCAACTTGGAAAGAAATCACACAATTTTTATCAACAAGGGCACACGAGCTTCCGGATTATCAGCTCTACTTTCGCGAGATAATGCGAATAAGCGTAAATGTCGCCCAGAAGAGTCAGAAGAAGTGCTTTGGAAGCACTATCAACGCTATGATAGATCTTTTCAAGCAATTCACACTCACCGCAAAGTCTCCAGATACCCGTCTCTTCATTCTCATTGCACAGGACTTTGTCTCCCTGCCGGATTTCCGCGAATCCGATCAGGGCAGACAGCGTTTTGTCATGGAAGTGATTATCTCACCACTAGCACTGTTCCTGAAGCGACAATCGAGCATTCTGCCTGCAGATTTCGCAAATTTAATGCTGAAGAAGCAATCAGTGTCGAACGACCAGATGAAAATGGAATTTGTGAGTCTCAGAACGCTGTTTGGCATTAGAGAGAATGCAATTTCCCACAATCTCTTTGTGGAGGTGCGTGAAATCCTGAAGACTGTTCTATTGTCCTACCAAAATCTCAGTTTTGACCTGCATTTGTGTGTTATCCCACTCATTAACAATGCCATTCTGGGCAAACTGCTGAACTTGCAAGAGATCCATGAGATTTTCATTTCCAAAGTCTTGCAAGAGGAGAAATACCACGTGTTCATCGCACAGTGTCTCAAACAGCTCATCTGCATCCAGGCGGGACACATTACGCTAGAGTGTAGCACTGTTAAACATTGCAGCAACACTGGAGGACCAATTGTGGAGTGTAATCCAGATTTCCTGGATCCCTACTTAAAGCTCTTCGCATCGAAGAACGACGAAGTGCTTTTTAACATGATTGAATGCTTGGAGTCACTGGCCATTCACTTCCCAAAGAAATCACTCGATATCGCTTTGTGGACGCCTCTTCTGGAGCACGAGCATTACAGCATTCGGGAGAAATTTGCATACGCGCTGCCGCAACTTGTGGAGAATGTCTACACACATGTGGACAATGAGAACAGGCGAGAAGAAATGATGCGAGCGTACCAACAGATCTTATTGGGAGTGATCCAGAAGACCGTCTGGAAGAAGAAGACCAAGTACAAAGACAACCATGCAACTCTTTTGCTGTTGGACAAGTTCACAGAAGTTCAGCGATATCCGGAGCAGACATTTTTGCACTTCTTCAAGATGATCTTCATATTTATCATCAACACGGACTCTCAGGTGACTTGCGATGCGGCGATTCTGGGGCGTGATATGTGCATCAGGAGAGGAATAGCACCCAGAGACATGCTGAACTGGTACAGAGAGGATGTACTGAAGATAACAGTGAGGCTGAGCGTGGAAGTCTTCAAGAGGAAAAACGTTGAAATGCGCCATGCTCTAAATCAGGTACTTAAGATAAAACTTCCCAACAACAAAGTGTCTAATGCAAATCATTCTGTTCCAGGTGTCGACAATGATGGGATATTTGAGTACGAAAGATTTCATTCGGCAACACTTCAAATTGATCATTGCAATGCTGCTTCCGTATTGCATTCGGGCAAGTCAAAAGAGCCAGATAATTACCTGATTTGCAGGGCTAATTTTGCAATTTTCTTCTTCCAGAATATGAAGTGCGAGAAACTCTTAGAAGATGTGTGTAAGCAGATGAAGATGGAGCTCAATGAGATGCTAACTGTGGCTTTCGTGACAATCTACACATATTTGTACCACACTCAATCGACAGAGGTCAACAACAAGTGCATAGATTTTGTGATTCAGCACACGGGTCAGTCACTTTATCATCTAATGCACACGGACATCAAGAGTACAATCCCAGAAGTGCTGGTGTACTATCACAAGAATCCCAATTTCGTTATGCACGCCTTCAAGAGTCTACTGTCGAAGAACGAGGTGACGCTGAGCGGCATGGCTGATTACATCTCTACGCGATTCCTCGGCGTTCTGGTGACTTTTGAGAGTATAATCGTGAGTCCGGAGACAGAGAAGGCGCTGAAGAAGGAGACGTTGCAAAGTCTGGGCGATATTGTGAGATTTATGGGATCAGAACACGTCACGCCGTACAGATTCAAGATCCTGACACTCTTGAAAACCGCCCTGATGATCGAGGATGACGGCGTGAAGACGATTACAGCAAGTGTGTGGACGATATTTCTGCGAACTGTGGATGTTCAGTGTCTTGGACCACTCCTGAGCACGATCATTGTCTCTCTTGAGCCCCTGCTCGAGCATCAGCAACAGCAGGTGGGCGAGATCTTCAGGTATCTCATTATAGAGAATCGGAGTCTCTTGAGTGCTCATTTTGGGGAGCTCTTCTTCATTGAGGACACTTGCCTGGAGGACACTGTGAAGGCCGTCGTTAGCTCTCAGAGGCGCACGTTAAAGCAGAGCTTCGCTGAGGAGTTTGATATGTTCCGAAAACACGTCAACCATGAGAATTTGGAAGTGAGAACGCATGGATTCAATCATCTCTCAGAGTTGTTTGCTGAGAATCGCACAGACTTGAATAGGATGGTATTCGATCAGCTGGGCATTGATTCCATCCTCGTGGGCTGCATTGACACGATGATGCAGGGATGTCGACACATCGATGAGAATCTCCAGCTGGCTTCTGGCGTGTGCTTGGGAGAAATGGGAGCTCTCGAGCCGAGTCACTTGCCGCCAAATTATGCACCGCAGAAGCAGCTGGCACTTAGCGTTCACTCGGATGAGTTTGCCATCATGGCTCTGGCAGAATTGTGCAGAGCTTATCAGTTCCAGAAGGATTCACACCACGTGGACAGTTTTTCACTGGCTATTCAGGAGATTCTGCAGGCGCGCGGAGTTTGTCCGAAGCAGAGCAAGAAGCTGGCCGTGTGGCAAGCCATTCCTGAGCGCATGCGACAACTTATGGAGCCTTTACTCACATCGTGCTACAAAGGGACTATTGTGAACAACAGCGCTGAGATTCATCCGGTGTTCGGCAGTTCAAAGTGTCATAGTCTCAAACACTGGATCTTCATCTGGGCATCGAATATGGTGTTTGGCATTGAGGATAAATTCACAAAACATCTTCTCAACTCCTTCCTGCCCAGCATCAAACATGATATGCAGACAATGGCTATGTTTCTGCCGTATATAATTCTGCAAGGCCTGCTGCACTCCACTGAGGAGAATCGCGGTAAGATTGCCGAGGAGTTTAAGAAGGTCTTTGCCGCTGCAGCAATGATTGGGGACACTGACGACATATCGCAGATTGATTCGCACTGTCGAGGAGTCCGATCGCTCGGATTTGTGGCCACACACACAACTGTTACGCGCGAATCGAAGGACGAATTGGTGATCAAGTGTGCAAAGATGGCGTCCAATCAACTGGACTTCCTGGAAACGTGGCTGCAGCAGAGCTCAAACACTCGCGAGAGCACAGTGAAGCAGTCCGAAATGACGCTCGTGCGAGAATTCATTGATCAGTTCGATGGCAAACTTCTGGCACTGGCAAACTTCAAGTCAGGCGAAAATGCACGCTCTCTGCAATTCCTGGAGCAATACATCTCGCAGAATCCCACCAAATTGCAAGAGGAGCTGCCGCTGCTCATGAAGATCTATGCTGAATTGATGGATCCGGATAATGTGGAGGGGGCGATTGGGTTGATGAGGACGAAATTGCCTCTGCCAGAGCAAATCGCCATGAACACAGTGACGGGAAGAGTGTCTGAGTCGTCTGTGTGCTTTGAGAAGCTGATCCAAATGGGCGAGATCACACCATCGCTGATGAACAGCCTTGTACAATATTATGTGGCGCTGGATCATCCAGAAACTGCTCTGCTCGTGTCTGAGAGTCTGCTGAATAAGTTCCAGGACTTCAATGTGGACAAGCTGACCCTGGAATTGAGGGCAGAACCTCTGTGGCAAATGGGAAGATTTGAAGAGCTGGATGACATGATCACCAGGACGGAAGTGGACGAGAGCGATGGATGGGGAATTCGCTGTGGCGCTCTTTTGCTGGCATATCGCCAGGATAATGAGGATTCTTTCACGTCTGAACTGAGGAAAGCAAGATTGAGCATCATGAAGTCGCTAAAGTGTGCAGAGATTGAGCAGAATGCTTATCAGAAGAGCTACTCTGATGTCCAGAAGCTGCACATGATCACAGAGATTGAGAAGGCGTTCACGATAATGAAGAAGTTGTCTGGGAATGTGTCTGAGGAGCAGGGAAAACATCTCATGGAGGTGTTCTTCAAGGATTGGGACGCTAGAATCCAGCTTCTGCGGCCGTCGACGAGGATTGTGGAGCCTGTCTTGCGACTGAGAAGGATTCTCCTCACCCAGGGAAGAGAGGTCTTCATGCAGAATTCTAATCGACCACTGATCAAGAGCCTGGTCACCAGTACAATTGACAATGAGATGGCAAAACTGTGGCACAAGAGCGCAGAACTGGCGCGCAAAGAAGGACTTTACCAGCAGGCGCAGCTCTATCTCCTGAATCTGGAGGAGTATCGCAGGAAAGATTCCTTTCTGGAGCGTGCAAAGCTTCTCTGGTCGCAAGGAGATCAACCAAATACTTTCCAGCTACTCGAGCAGGGACTCAAGAATTTCCTAGAGGACGAAGGCGCCAGAAGTTTTAAGAATCTTTCGCGCCAGGCGAAGATAATCTATGCCGAGGGAAAGTTCCTAATTGCCGACTACAATGCAGAATCCATGAACATTGAGACTGAGCTGAATATCGGTTACTTCCGTGAAGCTGTTGAGGCATTTCCGGAGAGTGAGAAGACCCTGGTGCACTATGCGCAGTTTCTGGACAAGATCTTCAACTCGCTGCCAGAGGAGCAGCAAATCGCCATGAAGGGAACGGATTTACTTAGGAACATTATGACATTGTATGGAAAATCCCTGCAGTTCGGCTGCAATTATCTCTTCCAATCCATGCCACGATTGCTCAGTATCTGGTTGGATTATACAGCACTGCCGGTGGGATGCGACAAGCGGGTGAGTAAGCAATTGACAGAGCTTGCGCTGAAATTCTCCGACACCCTGCCATCGTACATGTTCTTCACTGCCTTTTCTCAACTCGTGAGTCGCATATGCCATCCGTCGACGGATGTGTATCAAGTGCTGCGCACGATCCTCATCAAGCTCATCCATGATTATCCACAGCAGTCGCTGTGGATGATCCTCAGCGTCCTGAAGAGTTCCTACCCGAGTCGCAGCAGGAGATGCATTGAGCTGCTGAACGATCAGAGGCTCAGGGAGCAGCCAATGCAGCGTCTGATATGCGACTTCAACAAATTGGCTGAGAAGTTGATTGAGCTGACCAACAAAGCCATTCCCAGTCACATGAAGGATCCCAAAGTGTCCAATTTAGTGCCTCAACTGGCACAAATGTTCAATGAACCCAACTTCTCCAGAATTGTCATCCCGGCACAGAAGTTTATGCAGCCCGAACTGCCCAGTACGAGTGAGAGAGACGCCGCCTCGGCTAATCACAACGCCTTCCCGCGAAGGATGTACTACATCCAGAGCATGAGGAACAGCATGGTCGTCCTGAGATCGATGCAGAAGCCACGGAAGGTTGTTTTGCTGGCAGATGATGGGCTGGAGTACAGCGTGCTGATGAAGCCGAAAGACGATCTCCGGAAGGACTTCCGTCTGATGGAATTCAATGCCGTGGTGAAACAGTATCTGAAGCAAGATCCGGAGGCGCGGCAGCGTCGGCTGGGCATTCGCACGTACGCCGTGCTGCCGCTGAATGAGGAGTGCGGCATCATCGAGTGGGTGTCCAATCTCACGACCCTGCGAAGCATTCTGTTGGACATCTACAAATGTAAGAACTTGACCACTGACCAGTCGGACCTCAAGAGGATCGAAGCGAAGAAGGATCGCGAGACAAAATCCGGGAAGACAGACATCTTCGTCAATATTCTCTGCAAGCGACATCCGCCCGTGTTCGCCGAGTGGTTCAAGAGCACCTTCACCACTCCCTTCAACTGGTATCAGGCGCGTAGCTCCTTCATCCGCACCACCGCCGTGATGTCTATCGTCGGCTACATCCTGGGCCTGGGCGACCGCCACGGCGAGAACATCCTTTTGGACCACACGAACGGCGACACGGTGCACGTGGACTTCAACTGTCTGTTCAACAAGGGAGAGTCACTGGGCGTGCCAGAAGTCGTGCCCTTCCGCCTAACGCACAACATGGTGCATGCCATGGGACCTTTGGGCACAGAGGGGCTCTTCAGGAAGTGCTGCGAAGTGACGCTGCGCGTGCTGCAGATGCAGACTTCGACACTGATGTCCGTACTGCGACCGTTTGTCTACGATCCTCTCGTGTCGTGGAACAAGAACAGCAAGGACAGATCGGATGGCACGCGCGAGCGGACAGATCCTCAGGCCCTCACCAATCTCAACCACATTGAGGAGCGTCTCAAGGGATTCGTGAGTCTATTGGCGTTGCATCTCTCATGACTAGCCCTTAATTTCTTCCCGCTTTGCAGGTGAAAATCAACGGGCGGCTCGCCAAGATGCCTCTGTCGACGGAGGGTCAGGTGAACTTTGTGATAAAAGAGGCCACGAATGTGGACAATCTGGGCGCAATGTACATCGGTTGGGGCGCCTACTTGTAAAGCTGCCATTCCAAATAGAGATTTCGTTTTATTTTATAGTCCTCGACACGTTTTACTCTAGTTTCTAGGTAAATTTCTATGTTTGTGTCTTAACGCTAAACAAAAAAAGAATAACAATTTTAATGTATAAAATAATGAAAAATAAATCCAATCACTCGAATTTTCAAATCAAATTTTTCATCTTTTCCGTGATAAAAGTCTGTTTGTTGATGCGTTTGCACATTGGGACTTGATTCAAATGAATCCTAGATTGATTCGTGTGTGGTTTGGTCAAGGTCTGTGATATTGAGTCCTGAGTTGGGGATGACATAGCTTATGTTCCTTCTTGATTTTCTGTCTTTTGCCCACTTAAGTAATAAACTTTATTTACAGGCCTCGCTCTTCGTTAAATCGTCACTCTACAAACACTCTCTTGTGCAAATACCCTCTCTCTGAATCGATCAATAGTTAAGTCTCTCTCCTCGTTTTCCAGTGCTATTCACACATGTTTCTTCCAGGGATGGATCAAGATGACGAAGCGCGGAGAATATCTCGAAATTATTGCTTATCGGCTAACTCTAGGCGTATGTGCGGGTGAGGAGGAACCAAAGGGGAGCGGCCACACATTGGCAATATCAATTGGTGTTCACTTGCCTCGCCGACGCGCCGGGAAAGGGATCACTTGCTCTTCCCGCCCAGCACTGTCCTCACAGCCGCCACGATGTCATGCGGCTGCGGCAGCGCGGCCACTTCCAGCGACTTGGTGTACGGCATGGGCACGTCCACGCCCGTCACGCGCCACACGGGCGCGTCCAGGTGGAAGAAGGTCTCGTGCTCCATCACGCGCGCACAGATCTCCGAACCTACGCCGCTCTGCGGCCAGCCCTGCTCCACCGTGACCAGATGGTGTGTCTTCTGCACCGACTGGAATATCGTGTCCACGTCCAGAGGACGGATGCTCCGCAGATTGATCACTTCGCACTCCACGCCGCCTGCGAATGGAAACAACACTTCATTAAGCTGAATTGCTTTTCACGGTCAGATTGTCGAGTCTCGCAAGAAGTCCCAAAATAGAGGCCCTCATGGAGCCACAAATCTCGAATGATTATTGAATGTTCAATTGAGAAAAAGACCTCAAAACACAGAGTGAAGCGATTTAGCATAAAATAAATCAGATGTTTTTAAAGCAATCTCTTATCTTCAGAACATCGACTCACTTCGCTTGCCTTACGCTGTGCCTCCATTCGCAATAATGCCTGGAATCATGTGAATCAATACCCAATTCAGGCATAATTTCCCTATTACACTAATCACGCGAGATTGCCTCCCTCCCTTCAGCTCTTGGAGGGCAAGCTTGAGTGTTTACACGACAATTGCGCTTGCCATTGATCTCTCGAGCTGCGCGATAACACGCATCAATAAAAATCACAAACGTCCGATAAGATTGCATAATACGGACAATGCGTACCTTTGGCGAGCTCGGCGGCGGCCTGGAGCGCTAGCTCCACTGCCCTGGAGTGCGCCACGAGCGTGCAGTGGCTGCCCGGACGCATGATCTTGGCCTTGCCGATGGGCAGTGTGAAGTTCTTGTCCAGCACCTGGTCCGTAACCGGGTACAGCTGTCCGTAGAGGATCTCGTTCTCCAGGAAGACGACTGGGTCGGGGTCGCGGATGGCGGCCTTGAGCAGGCCACGGCAGTCCTCGGCGTCATAGGGCGAGATGACTTTCAGGCCCGGACAGTGGGAGTACCACGCGGCGAAGCACTGGGAATGCTGAGCGGCCACGCCGGCCGCCGCGCCGTTGGGCCCCCGGAACACAATCGGTACGTTCACAACGCCCGCGGACATGTAGAACGTCTTGGCGGCGGAGTTGATGATCTGGTCGATGGCTTGCATGGCGAAATTGAAGGTCATGAACTCGCAAATTGGCCGCAGTCCGGCCATCGCGGCTCCCACGGCCATTCCGGCGAAGCCCATCTCCGTGATGGGGGTGTCAATGACGCGCTTGTCGCCGTACTTCTTCCACAGGCCACGCGACACCTGTCGAGAGCCACGGAGTGGCCAGAAAATCGCACATTAGATAACTTCGTTCGCAAATAAAGTGTTTACGTAACACATCACAGCGCGTCACGCTGTGGAGTCGCGAGGGTGCCCTTCCATACCTTATAGGCTCCGTCGTACTGGGCCACCTCCTCGCCCAGGATGAACACCTTCTCGTCCCGCTCCATCTCCTCGTCCATGGCACTGTTGAGGGCATCGCGCACGGTCATCTGCTGCGCCGCCCCCAAGGATTTGGCGGTGGAGAAGGTCCGCCTCGTGAGCACACGCACAGCCGCCAGCATTTTTCCACTCTTCACTTATCAGTCAACCTAAAATGACGAGAGAACGTCAGTGTTTTCATGCACTTTTCGCGAAAATTGAGATAAAAGGAAAACGCACACACTCGTTCGGTCGCCTCTGACAACCAGCGCGGAAGGTCACCCACTCTATAAAGCGTCTTCGTCGGAATTCTATGGGACATTGGCAAACAAAATCTGCACGAAATTCAAACAGTGTACACACAGAGAGATTCAGTTATTATAATCTCCCTGCAAAATCTCAATTAAGATACTATTAATTACATACTGTTCAGAGATACGTGAAATAACTACAGAAATATGAGAATAATGGATATTAACGGGATAATTGCAATGAATATTCAATAGACACATTTGACAATTCTGCCGAAAGTCTCATTTCGATTGTTTGTTTGGGAATTTCGCTTGCATGCCAGTATTCCAACGACTTTTTTATGAATCAATCCGAGATACAAACCGCCTGTCGGCCACTCACCTCAGTGTTGGCAGCACTGTTTGTTTGCATTTTTTGGTTTGTTTACGTCCAGTAAACGAGGAATCTCGAGAAACACCCCTAAAACCCAGGAAATTGACTTTTTATTGCAATTTTCCATCTAAAAACACTTTCTTGCCCCTCGAGGAGTCTGTCAGTGGTGAAAATTCCCAGTACATATTGAAAATATAGTGGAAAATTGACTTAGGGAAGCTTCTCTGCATCTCATGGAAATGCATGGAATTTCCGGTTTGTGCTGCAAGAAATGAGGTCAGATGACACGGAAGTGCTCCTTCTGATACCCCCTGACTTCTTCATTGTACAAGAAACTGGCAATCTCTGCAGCTCAGAGTGCCTGGAAGCCCAGGAAACTTTCCGGACATCTGTGAACATTGAAGGCAGGATGGACGCGTCATTTCTGAAGGTAACATAACATACATGATAAATGAGCGTAGAAGAAACCTTCTAATGAGTATTTTGCCGCAGGAAATCGACTCTTTTCTCCAGGAGAAGACAGAGAAATCCGTCATCAATCTCAGTGACATCTCGCTGAGAGATCTTCAGCCTCTCTCGTGCGGTGGAGACATTCACGAGAAGGCTCAGAGTGCTCTTCAGCGTCACTCGGAGTCGATGACGAGGCAGAAAACGCTTCCGTCCGCTTGCAGGAGCATCGATTTCTCCGCTCAACCACCGGAAGTGCCACTGATCAGCCTCAGTGAGTTATGGTCGTCCAAAGGAGGCGGAACAGAGTCTGCTAGTCTGCAAGAGGAGCGCCTGAGGAGAGAGCACTGCGAGAAGAGTATCCATTTGCTGCAGGCGCGTATCCTAGAATACCAACAAAAGCTCGTGGTGGCGATGGAAGTGGACAGAACCAAAGACGACACAATTGCGAAGCTACAGGAGAATCTGAAGCGCCTGGAGTCACAGAATCTCCATCTTAATGTGGAATTGAGGGAGAGAAATGGCGAGGTTGAGCGGAGATGCGCTGTCCTGGAGACGGAATTGAGGAAATCCGTGGAAATGGCGAGAGATCTCCAGGACAGAAATGAAGTGTTTCACTCGAAAGTCATCCATTTGACCAAAGCCAATGAGGACGTGAAGGAGATCACGAGGAAGCAGATGGAAGATTTGCAAGTGAGGCTCTCGAACAGCCTGAAAGTGGAGCAATTGCTGAATGATGACCTCGTGAAGGCGAAGACAGCCACGGAAGAGGAAAAATTAAAGCTGAAAGACATGGAGAGAGAGATTCAGGAAGCACGAGCGAAGACTGAAATGGTTCTGAGAGAGAAATCCTCCCTGCAGACAGCCTTCGATCTGCTGAACGAGAAGCTCAAGTCCACATCTGAAGACACTCAGGCTCAGCAGTCTTATCTCAAGTCATACTATCAGAGCCAACTGAACAGCGTCGTGGGTGAAAAAGTTAAGGAGTTCCAGCAACAACTGGACGCTGCTGAGGCGGAGGCGCACAATCTGGGACGTCTCTGTGAGAAGCACGAGCAGGAAATCTCACTGCTGACAGAGAAACACTCGGAGGAGCTTTCGCTAAGCCATTTCCAACTCGCTGTGGCGACAAAGACCATCGAAGAGTTGCGCGAGAAGCTGAGTTTCTACGAGAATCGCCGTCAGGACATTGCACAGAAACTGCACAGCGTAATGGAAGATCAGTGGCAGAAGGCGCTGAAGATTCTGGGCAGTCCTGCCATCGAGGAGCCTTCCAGACAGCCGGCGTTCTTCCAGGCACCTCGAGAAGACCCTCTGCAGGATCAAATGCAGGCCTATATGAAGATTTTGCTGAAGAAGTCCTTGTCAGAAATTGCCCAAGGCGACCCGACGAGGGAGAATCCAGAGCAGAGGAACGACAAGACTCCGTCTAAGAGAAACAAGCAGCGACCTTGGCGCTAAAAAGCTTCTTCATTACGTGTGTTTATTTTCTCTTTTAACAAGACTTTTCCATTTACTGAGATGAGGGATGAAGAAATATCAAAGACAATCGCTAGATTTAAACCTAAATCGCGGAAATCGAGGCGCAAATTATATTTATATACACATAGAAAAAGCCTAAGAGTAAATTATATATTTCTAAACATAATTCGCTTTGTTTTCTTGATTTCATCAACACTTAAATTAATTTTAGGGGAAAGCCAGAGATGATCAGAAGCACTTGTGCTGACCAGAAAGTATCCAGGAAAAGATTATCTGTTCCTGAAAGTTTCTCAGTTCGAAAACAGTTCATTTTCCGCCCTTTTGCCTTTCCCCCAAGCTAAATTCATATAATAATTGATCTAATTAATGAAACTGGAATCGAAAGTTATTAATGAGCTGAAAAAGTATAGTGGATTTTCATGGGAACTTAAACTACCGGAATAGATTGCAATCTTGCCATCTTACGTATTCCTTAGCAGAAGAACAAAATGATCCAATGGTTTGTCAACAGCATATTTGTCCCCTGCGCGGGAATTATTCTAGTGAGTTGAGTGTCAGCAGTTGCTTCAGGACCTTCGTCTGCGACGTCTCCCTAATCTCACCGGCCAGGAACATCTCGTCCACCACCGTGTAGACTTTGTAGAAGTTGAACACGAGGTCCAGCTCGCAGACGTTGTGGAAGTACTCATTGAGGACCTCCACGAAGTTGTGAATGGCCTCCAAGTAGCACAAGTTGTTATCATTCACGTCCACACAGATGCAAAAGTACAGCCCGGCGTAGCGCCTGTACACAATCTTGAAGTTTCTGAACTGCGTGTCCGGAAGTTGTGCGTCAGAGAGACATGAAATCGAGAGATAAACACAGCAAAATTAGCCTCTGTGTGCCTCCATCTCGTGCCCCCTTCCTACCTCCACGAAGTTCGTGTGCTTGGCATCCCGGACAGTGACCACGGCGTGCACTTCCTCGATCAACTTCTGCTTCTCGTCATCGTCGAAGTTCATATACCACTTGGCGAGGCGAGTCTTCCCAGCGCGGTTTTGTATCAAGATAAACCGTATCTGAAAGAAGGTATTCCACATCACCCATTAGAAAATACAACACCAACGTCTAACGCTTCTCTGCTCACCATGATTTCTGCTAGATGTGTCCAGGAAGTGGTGCAAAAGCAGCTAACAAAACCAACTTCCTCTCAACCTTCTTTGACAGCACCACTTTTCTGACGAAAAAAGGGGAGGTTTCGCACTGCTGCCAACCTTCGCGAAAGAAATTCCGACGCCCGGCGAACGGCGAGACGTCAATCTTCATGGTGATTCCCGCGCGGCTGTGTGCTCTCGTCCTTTTCCGTGCTTTTCCCAGTGAAAATCCCACAGTTTCAGCATGATTTCTGTGGAGGACCTCTCCCGGGAGTTCGATGAGTTGGGAATTGAGCCGAACACAGAAGTTCTGTCCAAGTGTAAGTAGATACAGAAGTGCTGTGCCGAAAGAGAGGTTATGTTCACTGAGAATCCTATTCTCAGGCATAGAAATCGCCGGGGAACATAATCTTCAGGATGCGGTGGAATTTGTGGAGATGTGGATGGCCTTCAGTATCTCGTGCCTTGGCGGCGCGGAGCCCACAGTGGCCACATTGATGGAATTCGAGCGGAAGGAAATAGTGAGCAAGAAAGTACTTCAAAAAGGATCTTCCCGGAATCAGAGCGACTCCACGACGCGTCCGGGTGGTGATTTGTTGAAGATCTACAGTGGTTCGACAGAGAAGCCCACAGAGAAGATTCTGGACGCGTACTCATGCTACAGTCCTCAGGTAAATTCCCTCGAAGTTGTGTGTGTGTAAGTTCTTTGTTGGTGGCTTCTTATCCACCTGGCGAGGCAGAGGAGCGCTCTTTGTGTATCACCAACACACAGAAGGGTCCCCCTCCTCGAAGGCGAAGAGGCAGAAATTGAGAAGACCGCAAGGAAAGGTCATTAAGGCACAAAAGCGTACACCGCGATCGTCTCGAGAGTGCGTCTGTATTGCGATCGGGGGATTTGTAACCGGCTGAAAAGGTAGCAAAGACTAACAAAAAATCCATCTTCAGCACCCAGAATGGTGGTGTGATGGAGATAGCAGGAAAACACCCGAATCCCAGCCTCTCTCTCTCTTGCTCGTCCATGTCGAAAAGTTGTAGGAAATCTCCTCAGTTTGATGGGAGAAGCAGTAAAAGTGGAGAAAAAAAGAGACGAATCATCTCGTCGGCGGCATTGTTCTCAGAAATTTGCTTCACATTCGTCTCTGAGAACACACACAATTGCCTGGGATTCCATAATTTCCTGGAAATGATTCTCCACATCTCACGATTGGGGATTAATTGAGGGGTTGCACGTACGATCCGGTGCGTTCCTCCTGATAGACACGCGGGATGATGCCTTCCGACGTGATCTGTGGCGATGCTGGAAAAAGAGACGAATTGCCTTCAATCTCTCGGTGCCCTCTTGAAATTCGTGTCTCTCGCCCAGCGCATGTGTGAGTGACTCCGTTGCGAGGGCGCACAACTCAAAGAGAAATGTACGAATAGCGTCTCAGTATCGCTTCGCGCACTTTACATTACATTTAGAACGGGAATATTATGTAAAATAAGTGGGCGGTGCTTGAAAGGGGGCGTGATCAGTGAAGATTTCGTCAGAGATAGAAGAAAAGTGAAAGAAGTCACTTTCTAGCAAAACTTTAAATCACACACAAAACGAGAGATTTTTTCCAATTTCTTTTTATGCTGTTTAGTCTAATCTTTTACTGAAATTGAGATGAAATACCGATGGATGGTAGAGCTCCCAAGCGGGCGGTGCTTCAGAATATTCGTTTCACACAAGAACATAAGACTTCTTCCGTGATATCAAGTCAAGAGACTCACAGAGTACAATCCACTACGAGTTGCGCACTCTTGTACTGGAGGTGAAGCCAGCGAAAACTGAAAAGTTCCAACAAAATCTCAAGGACAAACAGTTTAAAAACTTTTTTGGTGTGATTGGACGCAAGAGATCGCCAATAGGCTTCAATCCGTGCGGTTGTTCGATCGCTAAGAGCGTGAGTGTCACTCTATAGTGAAGCACGGTGGGATGGAAAAGTTACATGATAAGCGGTGTGATTGTGAGACAAAGCCGGACGCGCATGTGCAGTGGCAATTTTCCTCCTGATACCGGACAATTTAATGCTGACGCCGCGATCTTGGGAACATCGGCAGTTTGGACTCTCGGGCTTTTTTTCTGTTGTATGTGCGCCTTTTTGCCCTCACCGGCCGAGAGACAAGTTCAATTTTTGCCGAGCTCTCCTAAATATAATTTGACACTTGTTGACGCGCTCTTCCATGCCTCGTCTCTGTCCAGCACGTCTGAGAGCTCCAAAATGCCGAACGGGAAGCAGGAGTGCCGTCTCTTTCGCGTGCACTGTTCTGGGTGGAATTGTGTGGCGAGCAGTTGGGCGACGGTGTAGTTGTGCGAAGCCCTCAGTTAGAGAGAGAAGTGATCTCGTGCCTTTTTGCGCCTGCTTCAGTGTGATTTGTTTGGGTGAGGAGTTCGGTGTGCCTTCACGAGAGCCTCGCGATGTTCTTCCGTGAAAAACTCTTCCAGTGTGTGGCGGGAAAAAGTTTCACAGGTAGAAAAATCCACAGCCTCTCCTGTGTGACTCAACAATTTCTGTATAGGATGATTTCGCCCCTCGGCGGCGCTCAAATTCTCCGGCCGTTTGTGGCTTCGCACCCGCTCGCGGTGTGCACAAGAGTTGCTCGAGTGTGAGTGCTTTGCGGATCTTGTTGCGAGTTGGAGAGAATCCGGGAAATTCGTTACACAAGCTCTTTTTTTTGTTCGGGTTCACTGAGATTTTTCGGCACTTTCATTGACTCTTGGTGATCCCACTTCTGATCTGTAGCGCGCTCTTTTGATTGAGAAGCGCGCCGTGAAGAAATGGTGGGAGATTGAGAAGAATACCTTCCTTGTTTGTGGCGAGAAAGAAAAACAGCATGTAAAGCGGGGACTTGAAGACAAAATAGAGGTTAAAGTACTCTTCTTCTCTAGTTGGGTCTTGAGAAGCGCGCACAGAGCAAAAGGGAGTGAAGAGAGTGAAGAAATTAACGCGTTTTACGGTTGCTTGACAGGGAAAAATAATAAAGGCTGCGAGAGAATTGTGGAAATCTGGGAATTTTGTACTTGTATTTGGAATGATGATGATGATGTTGAAAAAAAAAGTCATATAAATTCAAGTGAGACGCGGTGAAGCGATTAATGCTAAAACGGAGTGAAGCTCTACATCTCTTTTGTTTCCCGAAAGCAATAAGCCAAGGAGGAAGAGAGGTGAGAAGAGCAGAGGGTGCTGGAAAAGATCATGACGATGCGCGCGCGCGAAGGCAAATATGGAGATGTGAAATGTTATGTGAAAGAATGCCCTTTTCTCTTGTGTGGAATATGCATTGGAGAAAAAGGGGGAGAAAAACATGAAGAGATCTCGAGATCCAGAGCGAATGCGCGCGCGGCTTTTGGTGAAAGTGATCCGAATTCGAATGGATATTTCTTGATCCACAATGAGTGTTGTTGCGAAAAGCCAAATGGAAAGAGGTTGCAAGACGCCAAAGTAAAAGTGCTCCAGTGCGTGGAAAAACAATGAAGATGAGGATGATGGAGCACGCAGTGATGAAACTTGTTTTGATTTCCTGTGAGAATTGGAAATGGCATTTATCTGAAAGGCAAATCGCGGAGAGTCGAGTTGCTGAAGAGCGGCAATTCAACCCTTCTATCTCGATGCAGCGATCAAGTGTCAGGGATGTGGGGATTTCTTTATGGCCTCCGTGAGGCATCGAGAGACAGAGAGGGAGAGAGAGAGAGAGTGTGTGTGAGTCAACTGGAGGAGAATCAATCCCAATCGAGTGCGCGCGCCTTGGGCCAGTGCGGGAAAAGAGAAAGATGGAGGAAGAAGAAAATATCTCATGTACACAAAACCAATCGGATTTGGTTGAATGAACTCGCGATTGAGGATGCTGTTGGATGTTGCCTGGGCTGTTGGTACACAAAAACATACCCAAAGTTGTGTGAGAGAGTGAAAAAGAGCGGGAGACGAACGTGGAAATTATCTCCAATATGTGCACTCACAAACAATGAGCGCACGATCATGTCGATTTTCTCCCTTCCACACATCATCTTCCTCTGCCTCTATATTCTACTTTAGAAGGCGTTCTCTACACTCGCAATCGCCGTTCTAAATTGTATCCACTCTCTTCTTTGTTCAGAGAGGAGGATACAAAAGTGGCATCCTTTAGAATATGACCAGAAACAGTGTCTATCGATGTAATCTAATTAACTGTATTTTCAGTGTTGATAAGGGAGAGTGGGGTAGTTTCGAACAGCGATCTGGCTTTGAATTTGCCTTGATTTCCAGCACTATGAATCGGTTATTTATTAGAGTAATAATGATTGGTTTTATTGTGTTTGAACAGCTGTTAAAGAGGCAGAAGTGAGTGCATTTACTTTAGAATTGTGTGATAATTTTTGTGTCTTCAATTTGATCTTTACAGCATAAAATTAATAAATTGATTGCAGTGTACGCAATTGCTCCACTCTCTCCTAAACTGTTGTTGGCCAAAGAAAACCTAAAATACATGCACTTTTGTATAATTATTTATCATCATGCATTTAACTGAAGAACTGAGCATTCTGAGTCTCCTGATCTGAGTGTTTGTGGTGAAACAAGATGCAGAGTTACGCATAATGTATAATCATGCCACCATCTTCGGAGCCATGAGAAGAGCGAACTGTGTTTTGGTGATCTTCTGCGCTGGGAAGAGTGCTGACGAGCAGTCGAGGAGGGCGGCAAAATCACAATCAATTGACCAGCATCATTTGGTGTTGTGCGTGTGTCGTTAATTTGTGTGGCTCGGCGGAGAATGGAAGGAGGAAAAGAGCGGGAAAATGCGGGAAGATGATTGTCTCTTCTAGTGAGTGGGGTTTAGTGTCACAGTTTTCGTGTATTTTGTGACTAGATCCACACTCATTAACAGCGACAGTTTCTGCTGACTTTTCTCCCGCAGCCTGTGGAAGGAAGGAAGTGTGTGCAGAGAGAGAGAGAGAGCACTTTATGTTGTCGCCGAGCATGGATCTGGTGCGCGGTTTTATAGGCTCGTGACTAGATTACATGCTCGTCTACGAAGTAAAGTCAGCACAAGAGGAGTTTACAACCATGGGAATATTATTGTTTACGTCTCTTTCCCATTTCTCTGTTTTTGTCTGCACTCGGTGCTGAATCTCGTGTGGCGGTTTTTTTGCCAACCGCGCGAGAGATGTGCACCATAACAAAGAGATTGAACCAGAAACACACAACTCTGCGCCAATTGCACATGCAGAGAGTACACGAGCAGAGTGGGAATGAAGTGAGAAGGGCGAAGCCTTATGTTGAGATTGTCACTGATCCTCTCGCAAAGAGGTGTTTTCTCTAGGAGCTTCAATAGGCACTCGAAGGCACGATCGTTGGGCTGAGATATTCTCGAGAAGAGCTCGAGTTGCGCGTGCATAGAGCTGGTCTGTTCCAACGCTCGCGGAGATGGCTTTTGACTGGAAGAAGAGTGCGAGGAGAGGGAAAGAAAACACTACTCAATAGAATTCATTTTAATTGTCTCTATAATGCAACGTGAAGATGAGAAAGACGAAGGTATCCATCAAGAGTAATTGTAAAATAATTGACTGAGAGATTCTTTGTTGTGGCGAGAGAAGAGTCGTTTTTAGAAAGTTCAGGAGGAGAAAGAGAGGTGAAGCACTAAATTCGTAAACACTCGAGAGCGATTGCCGAGAAGTGAGACGGAAGAAGAGAAGCATTAGCATTGGACTGATGATCTTGTGAGACACGGAATAGGGAGAATTATGAGACTGTGTTTTCTCTTGTCCATTTCAGGTGGAGGCAAAAACACGCCCTGGAGGAGTTGAGGTCAACTTCAGTCCGGCCAGTTACTCACCTCTGTAAGTCTTGATCATCCGAGATTTTTCGATGGGAATAACACCGACTTCCTCTTGTCTTTCAGCACCTCGTCTAAGGAAAAAAGCAGCGATGAGAAGTCAGGGAAGATTGTATACACTTTCGGATCGGCTCAGCTCCTTCAGTCGCTTGTGTGGGAATCCCAAGCGACTGGTGAAAAGATCCTCGTCCAGCAGATTCCGTTGAACATTCAGGACCAGCTGCTAGAGCCTACAGAGCGATACATGTACGATGGCATAACGGAGAAGAGCTTAATTGCAGGAGAGCGACTTGACGACATCGCTTCTGGGATCTGCAATCGCGCTTTCACGGAGGACGCGGAAGAACCGGTGGCAACAGGGGACACTCCGTATGAGGGCGAGGAGTATGAGAAACTCTCTCAAGTGAATTATCACAGTCAGGCTGTTGTGCGATGTGTTGGAAGAGTGTCTCACGACAACACTGCCAGTCGCTTGTCTGCCACATCCAGCATCCTCATCGGCAACGCCAAGGACAAGATGAGCTCTGTGACCCTCAATTTCAATCGCATTCCCTCAGTGTCACTCTTCCCCGGTCAAATAGTCCTGGCCAAAGGGATGAATCCCACGGGAAAGACACTTTTCCTGCAGCAGTTGTTCTCAGAGCGCTATTGGGATCCACCGCGCGCGCCCAGTCACCTCAAGACACCCCTGAAACTCCTCATAGCTGCTGGACCGTTTGCGGAGAACAACGATCTTGTGTGTGAGCCTCTTCAGGACCTCATGACGCAGTGCAAGCAGCTGAAGCCCGACATCTTAATCCTCATTGGGCCGTTTGTCGATGTGAAGAATTCCTGCATTGCTGATGGACTTCTGGCGGAGTCTTTTGACTCCTTCTTCCAGAAACTGATCAACGGCGTGGTTTCTTCAATTGGGTAAGAGAGAATGCGAAGAAAATTGTGACTTGGGATAGTTAATTTCTGCTTCTTCACAGAGATCACGTGGAAATCTTAGTTGTGGCGTCTCAAAGAGACGCGCACAGTTCAATGGTTTATCCAACGCATCCGTACAGCATTCCCGGAAAACCAAAGAATGTAACCTTCCTGCCTGATCCCTGTTTCGTGGAGATTTCCGGGGTGAAGTTCGGCATCACAGCGACGGATATTGTCAATCATATTGCAGAGGAAGAGTTCACTAAGTGAGATGCTGAACACTTTTCGTGTCTAGAGAAATCTCTGACTGAATTTTTCTTCCAGGAACGCTGCTATGGATAAAGTGAAGAGAATTGTCGGGTATTTGATTAACCAGAAGTCCTTCTATCCGCTCGATCCGCCTGCTCATGGAGTGAATATGGACTCCAGGCTCGCCCACAGATTCGCCAGGATCCGGAGTGTGCCCCACGTCTTCATTCTGCCCAGCGAGATGAAGTGCTTCGTGCGAGACGTCGGCGGATGCCTGGCAATCAACCCTGGCCGAGTCGTCGAGACCACGAGAGGAACCTTCGCTCGCCTGGTTGTGAGTCCGCCATCGGACGGAGCGACTCCCAAGGATTTCATGGCATGTCGCATCATGAGAGTTTAGCCAAAGTGTTCACTTTATTCACGAGAAATAGATGTTTCACCCAAAGAAAGTCTTATGTCATGACTTCGTCGAGTTCTGCATCGGATTCTGACTCTTCTGACCACTCGGAAGGCGTTTCCACAGCCGCTGAAGTGACGCCCGGAGTTGTGTTTTCCGCAGAACTCGACCCAGCACCCGAGGCTTCTGCGGCTGGCTGGGAAGGCTCCGCGTCCGGGGTCTGGTTGTCCATTTGTGCTCGCCTCTGCGGGTGTTCTCGGCCGAACTTCAGGATTTGCTTGTTCAGCAGAATTTTCTTTATGAAGCGATGCGTGCTCTCCACTTGACGCACACAATTCAGACACACAGTCTTTGGCAGCTGGTCATTCGGCTTAATCTGGAAGGACAAAGAGACCATCCTGAGTCACTGGGTGGTGAAAAGAGTCGGGAAACTCACGTTTATGTTGAGGAAATTGTTTATTTTTGCTACAAGGCAGAGTTTCAGTCCTACGTCTCCGTAGAGGAGAATCACAACTCTGCTCACTTCTGAGCACAGCCGGCAAATGTATCCACTCACGCGCGCTTCCTGCATGTGCCCCATTCCTATTTTAATGCCCTAAGAGCAGATTCTGGCCACAATAATTGAGAAAACCTCGAAATTCTGCTGTTCTTTCACGTGAATTTTTTTCTCCCATTCGTCAAACTGTCAATAAAGTATACAATAGCAAAATGCCTCGGAAATGTCTATTGGATTGTCTGCAGACTTCGATGAATAATCCGGATTCACTTGTGGTTCTTGCTGCTGAATTTAAGAAATCCATAAATATCGGAAAATGCTACACGACAATTAATAGATAGTCAAGCATGAAACCGTGAAATCCGTGAAAATGTTGATAAAAATGCGTGAAATAAGAACTCATGCCGATCCATTAATGATCCCATTTTCTGCAGACGAAATTTTACTGGGCAGATGTTTTGTTGACACTCCAGCCGAAGAAAAAGAACGTGAAAACTCCCCGATTTCTCAAGGAAAATCCCATTCAATCACCCCCAAAGTGTCCAGGAAAGGTAATTTAGTGTCCCATCATTGCTTTCCCACCTCACTCACAATCCTCTGTAATTTATTTTTCTCAAAAACCACAAAATAACTGATTCTCTCCGGTCTTTTTCTGTTCTCTTTCGGTTCTCTTCCCCTCTATATTGTACATAATAATTTTGTAAATAAGCCGAAAAGTGTGTAAAACATTGATAAAATAAGCAAATATTGCATTTATATGGTAATTAGAGTATCGTGACGTTGAGTAATCCGCTCTTTGAAGTAGTCTGTGTCGCGAGATGTTGAAAAAACTCTGCTGCTTTGTCTTTCTTGGCTCCTTTGCATATCTCATTCGGTAAAAGGGCAGTTTTTTGCTGTAGCCGATCGATCACCTGAACGATATCTTTGATTTTCACAGATACCATTTCCTGGGGAGGAAGTGTCGCTGCAAGAGGAACTTGAGTGGAAGACTTGTGATCGTCACCGGAGCAAGTTCAGGAATTGGACGTGCGTTAGCAGAAGAATTGGCCAGGAAAGGTAGGAAAGATTCTTTAAAACAGCTTCAGGATTTACTAAGATATCTTCTTTCAGGTGCCAATTTGATCCTCGCGTGTCGAGACGTAAAGAAAGCTGAAATTGTGCGTGAGAAAATCTCTGTGACGACTGGAAATTCCAACATTCGTGTTTCTGAGCTCGATTTGGCGTCATTGGAGTCTGTAGAGCGCTTCTCGCAGGACATTCTTAATACTGTGGAGTCTATTTATGCCCTGGTAAACAACGCAGGAATCTTCTACTCATCACCGAGGAATACAGAAGACGGATTTGAGGAGACTTTTCAAGTGAATTACTTGAGTGTCTTCCTCCTTACGCTCTTACTTCTGCCCGCGATCCGGCGACACTGCGATCCAGCACGCATTGTGAACGTAGGATCTGAGGGTCACCTCCACGCCTGGCCATTCCCACAGCCGGAATACCACAGAGTCTTCGACGATTCGCGGGAAGATCGTTTCCGCGCGTATTTCTACAGCAAATTCTGCTTGACGCTCTTCAGCTGGAGACTAGCCAGTCTCAGTGAGAATTCCAACATCTCCGTGCACTGCGTGGACCCTGGAAGCGCGGAAACCTCCATTTTCCGCAACTTCCCGCCTCTCGTGAACAAACTCTCCAAGTGGGTGCAGAAGCCAGTGAGGATTTTCGTGGTGAAGACACCTCACGAAGGCGCTCAGAGCGTTTTACACGCCATTCTGTCACCTGAAAAGCCTCCATTCTACATCAGGAACCTCAAGGAGGAGGAAGAGATCCACTGCCGATTGTCTGACCCTCTCTTGGGCATCACATTATGGCGGATGAGCAGGAAGATGTGCGGACACCGTCTGCCTTCGGCAAGTTAGTGCCCAAGATCTGGTGTGACTCCGCCAAAGGGCTTCAGAAGATCTTACTTGACTTCCACTTCGTGTCCATCGTGAAAGCCTCCGAAATCTCGCGATGCTGCATAAATGTGAGTGCCATTGAGGATCTGGAGGGACGCGAGAGTGCTATTCTGGGCAGTGGAGATCGCCAAGAAGTGTGGATTGATTTGGGCAGTGCGAAAACCCCCATCGACTGTTACATTGAGATCTTCCTCAGAGAAATGTTGACTGGAGAGCGAAGTCGATGCTCCATTACAACTAAATCCGGCCAGAGTCTTTCCTTCACCATTAAACTCATCCGCATAGATTTTAAAGGATATCTTTTTGAGCTTCCAGCGCGGGAAATGGTCAATCTGGCCCAGAAATACCGGGAAAATGGCGTGGAGATGTTCAAAAAATACCCAATATTCGCGCAAGATTACTTCAATCGAGCTGCGAAGTGTGTCCTATCGCTAGGACCTCTTCAATCTGAGAGTCAAGAGCCGCCGCTGGAAGATGTTTCGCCTGAAGAGCTCCAGAAACTGCTGGAAAGTGTCTATAACAACATCTCTGCGTGTTTGCTGAAGCAGGAGAGATTCGAAGAGGTGCTGTATCTTATGGAGTTCACTAAGAGGGAGGATGACGTGCCCGAGAAGGCGATCTACAGGAAAGCTCTCGCTCACAATGGTCTCAGACAGCATGCAGAAGCGAAAACGGAACTGGAGAGACTTAATTACAAGGAGAACAAGGAAATCTTGGCTCTGTGGAATAAGAATCAAGCCGAGTGGCAAGTGGAGGAGAACAAGTATGCTCAGATGGTGCAGAAAATGTTTGCAAAGTAGTGTTTTCGGGTTAGAAATAAAGAGATTGAAATTTAATTTGCTGATATCCCGCTTTTTTCCACTGGAAGTCCGCATTTTGCCTACATTGCGGCTGTGAATTTGAATAATCAACGAATGAAACTCCGCAAAAGGAGAGAAATCAAGAGTTTTCAGCGAAAAATCGCAATATGTTCAGCTTATTCGTGTGCGATGAGAAGCGTAAGAACTAATGGGCAAATTAGAGCGAAGCAATAGGCAGAAATCAATTAATTGGCAGTGGAGAAAATGGGAATTTCTACCTTTCCCATCAGAATTCCTCAGAGGTGCTGATCAATCACTGCAGAAAGCCTCCAAATTCACAATCTCTCATTCAAATCGGATGAAATTAGAATAGAATTTCACGTACGATGTCAGCGAATTGACAAACAGCCAGAGCCAAATTCACTTAGAGATCTTTGTGACAATTTATCTCTCTCACAAATCCAAAATCCTGCTGGCCGAATTGCCAAAAGAATCTCTAAGACGTGATAATTTGCATTTTCTGTCCGCCGATGATTAGGTGACGATGGAAAACGAGAAAAGGTGGACCGTTTGGCTGAACGGGAATCCATTGGGCGCGCAGAGAGAAGATCATTTTTCTCCGGGATTAGTGGACTCGTATTAACCCAATTCGAGACTCGACCGCCACTTTAGCACGAATCTATTTAGCATAAATTATACTGCGAACCTCATAAGCCTCCGCAGCGGCCACTAAATGCTATCTAAAGTGCTTTGATGACACTCAATAAAGGGACATCACAGTTTCTCGAAGATGCACAGAGAAGATAGCGATTTTGCGTGTGGCAGATAAAATGTGCGTTGTAAAATTGACATGGCGAAGTATTGCAGAATCAATCAAGCAGTATAGAAATTCAATTTTCATTTTCATTCAGCGACGACGTGAGAGTGCGACCCTTCTCACGTTATCACTCTTACAAAGTCGCAGCAATTAATTTAATCATCTCAGATCAACAGATAAAAAAATCAATCCCCGACTGAAGACTGGAAGAAATTCTCACCTCTTCTGCGCCACGCAAATCAGTCCCCATCCGCGTGAACACGTCTCTTTCCCATGTGGAAAAGTGTGTGAGTCTCTCTGACTAATCTGTACAGATTGAGGCGAAACACGCAAAAACGTGTGCAATTTTCCCTCTTCTGCCCAGACACAGTCTTACCATTTCTTTTGCTGTGACTCTCTGGCATTTGCCATCTTTATCACTGAGGATTTTCACTGCCATTGTCTCCGACTTCGCAATAGCAGAAGCTGATCACGATGGCGCGTGCACTTTCCCGCCAAAACCTCTTGACCAACTTGTGGGATGCAAACGCATATTCATTTCTCGCTCTCTTCCAGGCTGCGCTAATGAAAAACTTGAAGGCAAGACAAACGGGTTGGTAATTAGGCATGTTCTGCATTTGCACTCGGAGGCCTACAGAGGCTCATTCCAGGTTAATATCTCAGGAAGGGAATCATAGAGAGGATTTCTGGATCTGGACTATTGAGGGGTTTCTTAGTTACACCATCGACATGTTAAACTGTAGGATGGATTGTTGATGTTCCCCTTGTAACTAACTTCTAAATGTTAAAAGAATCTTGAAATTTCTCATGAATTGATCAGTTCTTTTATAGCTTCTGGCTGAAGAAATCTTAAAGGCCACACCCATGCAAACGCTCCGCCCACAAATGTGTGTTCTTTGTGGATTATTATCTGAAATTGTCCCCTTTCTTCTCTAAATTCACTATAAATCATTTTCTACTGATTAGGAATGCTATTTTTCACACTCCGAAAGGTCACTTCGAGAACTCTCAACACACTGAAGTTCGTGAGAGCTTTCATGTTGTCCCGAATGCCTGAGAAACCCCTGATTTTTGCATGTTCTGCGGCAATTGGCGCGCAATGACCACCTCTTTAGCTGTGTAATTGATGATGTTTCCCGAAGCAGTATTGAGCAAATTTATCTTTCCACTGGAACATTAAAATAAACCAAACATTCTCTCTCGGCACAAGCATGGAATTTCACGTGAGATATTGGAGCCAAGATTGCGACTATGCAACATTATGCAGATGTAATTTTGTGGACACAAAGTCAACTCATTAGTTTTTCGCGAAAAAAAACCTTCGCAACTCTGCGTGTAATTCAACATGTGCGAGAGGCCCATTGAAGTTACACACAGTCTGCCACTGATCAAATAGAGAATCTGCAATTGTGATGATGAGAATGAGCCTCAGAAAAAGCTCAGCGCTGCAGTTATTATTTATTTGAGAACATTGAGTGTTGCTTCAGCGTTGCGCTGTTCTTCTTTTGCGCGCCGAGAAGACTTAAATAGAAAGTCTGTGTGTTGGCAAAACAAATCAATGCATTTGTGAGCACGTCAAATGGCCACATAATTCATTCATCATTGCCCGTGGAAGTGTTTTCCATGCGAATATCTTGGCAACGGCAAACTCTCTGGATGACCCTCGAGGCGAGATTCGGATGCGAAATTCCGCGCGTAGGATCATCTTAAATCTCAAATCCGCTTATAAGGGCATTCTGCTGCATCGTCTGCCAGCTAATTGATTATCTAGCCTTTTGAAGATGATGAAGTTTCTATTATTTCATTTCTCTCAGCGTCATACAATGTTGGGTGGAATTTCTTGATATCCCGTGGAAACTTCACTGATGCGAAATGTGTGTGTACAATTCAAATCTCTCCCAACTTATTTTCCCACTCAAATCATTCATTGAGCACCTGTTATTGATGGCCTTCTTCCCATGGTAGACGATAGAGAGGAGAAAAGACCAATTTTCGGGAGTCAAATTGATTGTTGGGAAGCAAAAAGTCCCCAAGAAGGCGTGAAATTGCCTATATTTTCTCCTTTGATCATTCCAGTCTCCCATCGAGAGTTCTTTCTTGTGCTTTTTTCCACCATCATCCCATCTCAAATTGATGGACAAGCGAGCGCAGTGATTGAGGAAAATAGCTCAGAGTGATTTCAATTCCAATGATAGCAATATTGATTCAATGTCTTCGTCTTGGGCTTCATTTAGAGCCATCCTCCAGCCTCAGACGCAATTAAAAGTCACTCTATATTGCATTATAGTGTGTTTATTCTTGCCAATTGGCAGAATTGCGTCTTCCTTGTGGAGTAGATTAATTAAATTGTGGCATTTTATTGCATTCTTCCCGGCATTATTGATTGCAGATGGAGCAGGAAAGGCATTTAATGCGATTTCTATTGAAAAATATTTTCCATCACAATTCATAGTAGCTTTGAAAAAACAGTTTCCCACTGAAAATCATTATATGTGAAGCTTGTTAGGAATAAGTGGAGTTTTTTTTAGGAATCTTTTATGTGCTAAGAGAATAAATGGCAAAGTGTTATAAGTCTGGACCAGTAACGATCAACCCTTTCTTCAACTTCTTGAGAGAATATCGACCATCGCATTGTGGCCTAACTATCATTGAGATTGCAGTTTCCGGAGCGAAGGCCTGGAATTCAATGTCTAGCGAGAAAAAGGAGTCATTCAGGCGATTGGTGAGCTTTCTGAAGGAATTTTGCCACTGTCTTTTCTAAACTTTTCTAACTAAAAATCTCTCTTTTGAAAGGCAAAAAATGCCACACCGTACAAGAAGCGCAAGACATCTCAGAGTCTCCGCTTCAAATTGAATAAATTTGAAAAGTCCTCCGGAAGAGTGATGAAAAAGTCCAAAGGCATTGCAAGAAGGCGCAAACATGTTTCATGGGCAGAGCCAATTGCCTCAACATCTTCTGATCTTTCTTCCACCCCAAAACTGCGTTCGCCGAAGAAAGAACAAGTCGGAAAATTGGAAGATGTGATCGTTCAGCGAACAAGTGCAAAATCATACAAAATTTGTTACACACTAAATTTGGAGTGAAAATACACGACATTTCTGAAGGAATAAAAGTCTTCTTTTTCTGGTGTGTTTCAATGCGAGGATCGTGGGGCTCATTAAGCGGGTGAATGGATCTTAAATGCATCCCATGTGTGTCCAATCAAGGTGTTTCACGGGGAGATTTTTATGGCAAAATCGTCCACTTTGGCTTTCACCTCGTCTGGCTCTCAAGGGAGGAGTCACACAATCGTAAAATCCAATTGCACACTCAACCTTTATCACCTGAAGAGTCTGAGGAACATTTTCCTGTACCTCCATTCGTGATTGCTACTGAAATTGCAGGGGATTTTATTGTTCCTGCAGGAGACTCTGATGAACATTGTTGCAAAAATTTGTCCTACACCAAGTGATATATATTAACTTTGCTCTCATTCTCAGCCACTCACAGATTCCGTCGATGATCTTCTCGTCTGGTAATTTTCCATCGATTAGCTACGCTTCAATGGAATTTTTTGGCTTCACTGACTCTCATTGCTATTAAGTCAAATGTTGATTAATATTCTCACTCGGAAATGTTCTCGTTCCTTCATTCCCACCGTCCAATCGTGAGATATTTCCTGGCCGGTGACAAGTTCGGGGGCCAATGACACAGCAGCGCCAGTGAATTGCATGCATTTCGATCCTTGAATTGTGTGTAGAATCAATTCCAAGGCGATTTATTGATTCTACGCATTCTAAACTGGCCAAGATGCTTCTCTCGGCAGGAATTTCACCTGAAAAATCCCACCTGATGCCCAGAGTCGGTTTGTGATGTCAATTGCGAAATTTTCCCCATTCCTGCGCAACGTGAGGAAAGATAGAGTTGGTTTTGAATTCCTCACACATTCTCAGAGGGCAACTTTGACGATGACATTCCAAGATGCAGGAATCGACGCGAAGAGGCGAAGTGATCATTAATTTGGGTCTTTTCTCGCGCGTCTCCCATTGATTTAGTAATGAGGACTACAAGTGTGCCCGCGAGATGGGAACTGCTGGCAATTCTCAAATTCAATCGCGCGATCATCTAGCGATCAGGCATGACGCCATGTGAGCACACGACAAAATCACTCAAAGTGTATTAAATATTATTCCTCGCTGAGATTTTATCGCGGCAAAAAGTTGGACGAAGAAAAGAACACATAGAGGAGGAATGAGAAGAGGAACCAAATTAGAAGGAGCAAAAATCCACATATTAGAGATTTGAGGCTACAGATTAGAATTAACTGGTTTCCCATCCGCTCAAACATTGGAGCACACTCTTGTATGATCTCGAGTGGTTTAAATAAGGAAACGTGTTGAAAATTATTGCAAGAGAAGCATTTTATGTGGAAACTACACTTACAGCGCATATTTCAAGCTGAATTAATAAAAGTGGAAGATCATGAAGATCACTTTATGAGCGTTCCTTCCCTCCTTGTTTGCTCACTTCAATTCTTGACACCTCCAGCAATATCTGGCCTATCGTGCAATTTGTCCAACAGCTTGTTCTCCGTCCAATTCCATTAAGTTCACACTTTTGCCCAATTGAACAGACGCGCATCTTCGCCGAGTGTGCACCAGGAATTCATTATTGATGAATATGCTCAATGGTAAATCTATATCGCTTCGCCTCAATGCTCGATATTTATTACAGCCTCAACAGATTTGCATTTATTGCTTTATTTATCGGCCAATAGAAATGTTCTTGCATTGCGCATGCAAAGTTTGTCCTTAAGAATAATTCTACACTAATCAGGGAAAAACGGGAATATTTTAGAGCGTCTTTTTGTAGTTGTAAAAGCGTAGGGGAGTAAATCATAATGTTGGGAAATAATTGGTCAAAAATTCCGCAATGTTACGCAGAATATAAATTAAGCCTTGTCATGAAGAATTTTCTCCAAAGGCCTTGAATCCAATTTGAAATTTTCCACATCATGAGTATTTATTGTTATTTGTGGAATCTCAATCAAAAACTTAAAATTTGATTAACAAACACTTCTTTTATCGCCTTATAATTCGCCAATATCATTTGCAAAACAATTCCCAATCATCTTTTACTGTTTATCTAGCATATAAACATCTCAACTAAAAAAAACATCACCTGTTCTGAATATTCTGACTTACATAGTAAACCGTTTCGAATTTGGCATTAATATTCAATTATGGCCAACATTAGAATATTCTCCAAATGCCTGTGTCGCAAAAGAAGTTATGCAAGATCAACACCATTTCAGAATAGTCAATATCATCCGATAGCGCGCGATGAACTTGAATGCTCGTGCGCTAATTCGTATTATCGCGATCCTCCCCTGATGGCCCACCTTGAGCTCTGGCGAGAAGGTGCTTCCAGGTGAGGAAAAGCACTCCCCCCTCCTCTGTTTGGGGCGCGAGAGTGCGAGAGAAAATGCGAGATCGTGCGGAGAAGCAGCGCTCTTCCATCTCCTCAAATATCAGTCTGTGGCGCGCGCGGCGAGTCTTGTGTGAATCTTCATGTGTGTTTCTCCGCGAAGCACGTCTTGATATCAAAGGCAGGTTGCATTCGCCGTTGAACCAGCGGCCTTGATGGACACCATTAGAGGAGAGAGAGCGAGAATCAGGTGGCAAGAGAGTTCTTCCTCAGCAGTGCGTGATCTTCGTCAATCTTCAGGACTTCGCTCAGAAGATCTCTTGCGATCTTCGTGGAAAATTGTGTGCGAGTGTTTCGTGTAACCGACTGCTCTTCTTCGCTTAATTACATATGACACTAAATCCCACTGAAGTGCAATATGAAAAACCTTTTGTACCTCATCAGCCGCAGTGTGTGTGAAGAAATATAGAACGAGTCGTGTGAATTATAACAATTAAATTACTATATCAAGAGTACAGAGAGAGAGAGAGACATTTGCGCTGCAGGGCAGAAGAAGAGACTTTTTCCCTCTTGAGCTGATGGTGAAGCAAAAAAATTGCCGACGAGTTTATTTAGTCAGAGGGAACGATTCGGAGAAAAAAGAACAGAAAGTGCTCAGAAGTCAGCCAAAGTTCGTTTTTCTCCATTTGGTGTGCGCTCCCAAACAAGTGCTCATGTGACAGGCAATTTGGTAATTGTGGAGGCAAGAAGAGAGTGATGACACGTCTTGGGCAATAAACACTTGGAAAGCGTGTGATTGAACATTTCGCCGTGTGATCTTCCCGATGAGAAGTGAATATTGATTGCGATCGTTTGCTCATTGTTGGCTCCTGTGCCGTGTTACCCAGCCGTGATCTTCGCCACACCTTTACGAGGTGAGTTAATTGTTCTCCATCAATTCTGCTCTCATTTTCACGCAAACACGCTCGGAATTTCATTGGAAATACTATCAGGAATTGATGATCTTTGAAATCTCGCATTGAATCTGGCGATCTTGATGTGTTATCTTTAGCTTCTGCTTCTCTATAATGACAGTGTTTATTCTTGGATAAAATCCTTACAATTCCCCGAAGCTCTCACCGTGCGATTACTTCTATTAGTTCTTAAAGACTCTCAGCAGATTTGTCTCCATTTCTGACGGATTGGTGTTCGGTGGGAGCCTTTCTGCGGGATGACCATTCTTGTCCACGATGAACTTTGTGAAGTTCCACTTGATGAAGTTCACCCCGACGGTAGGCGTCTTCTTCTTCAGCCATTGCCACAGCGGATGAGCTGAGCTGCCGTTCACGTCGATCGGCGCAAAGAAATCGAAAGGACGATCGTCCTTCACCAGCTCCTTCATCTCCTCCACCATGTCCTGCTGGGTCCCGAACTGATCACAGGGAAAGGCGAGGATGCACAGCCCCTTCATTTTGTACTTCTTCACGAGATCCGTGAACTCTTTGAAGTGTCTCTCAGCGTGAATGCACTTTGTGGCCACATTCACGATCACCACAACTTTTTCGCGATATTTGGCCAAACTCACGAGCTTCCCCTCGATATTGTATGCAGAAAAATCATAGAGACTTTCCGCCTTTGATGCGTCGCCAAGCTCGGTATTCCTCATGTTCTCTTCCGCTGTCAGCTGTGCCTTCAGGTCTGTACAAGGGACAAGGTGAGACTGAAGACTCGTCACTTGAACGCCTATTGAGTAATTAAACAATCGTCAACTGGGAATTAATTAGCACGAAATACATTTTAATGAGTCTCCCTTGCAAAACACGTCTGTTCCGCGTAATTTCCATATAGCACTATGTTCAATATTCTAGTAAATACTGTCCACTTTACCCATGACAATCAGCATTACAAATTGAACACATATTTGGCATTAAATATACAATTTACAGCATCAATTATTCTAAAAGCATTCCCAAATTCCACCCTTTGAATCAGTACAATTCGCAAAAACAGTCTCTGATTGACCTGAAGGTCTCAAGTATAATTGGCAGTCACATTTTCCTCCTTCTCTCACCTTATTTGCATGCGGATTGCAGAACAGTTGTACAGGTGATGACAAAAATCGTACTGAACGGCAATCAAGTGAAATTATTTCCTCCTTGGATGAATCCCAATCAGGGCGGAAAGCCATTGAGGATTGCAGGTGTTTCTGCGGCAGCTCAAGCTCCTAAATTGCCGATCATGGCCAGTATTGCTAATCTATTGCAGTCTGATGAGGTGCCATGACGAGAAAACGGAGGGAAGAGATGCGATTTGAAGAGTTTCTTGGAAAAATTGAAATATTCCAATATTGAAGATTTCAGAATCATTCTTTTCTACTTCTTCTTTGCTGAAATGTTAAAGTGCGTCGAAATTTCACTGCAACGCTTGAGCCTAAGAAGGGAATTCCTCAGTGATTTTTCCTATAAAACGTGTGAGTTTGATCTACAATATAATTAATCTTGGACATTGCGCGGTGGTTAAACATGGGTGGAAGATAGCACTGTCCAAGAGACGCGCACACATCCCAGGGAGGAGTGTGTAATCTCAATGGGCAGTGCAAGAGATTTCCTCCCAGCAACTCGCGCTGGTCCATGGGATGCTGCAACACACCGCACACTTCCCATTTGCCCATCGCGAGGATCACTCGGCGGCCGCAAGATTTATTGCAATTGTATTTATAGAAAATCTCTCCCATTCCTCCACCCCAGCTTCTGCGACAATCAGCTCGCGATCTTCCTTGTGGGAAGAAATCTTATCGTGTGACCTGTCTCGCTGAGCAAATGCCTCAAAATTCCCACCTCGAGATGGGCACGGAGATTTCAAATTTGTGGGTTGACGCCGCTGTCCGATGATCACCAATTTATTTTCACATCCAAACATGTTTCCTTTTACATCTCTCTCACCGTTACTGCTCTGCCACGCTCGAAAGCTGGCTCAGGATCTTCGTGTTTAGGTGATATTAGTCATCAAAATCCACATCAAGGGGCAGAGCATTAGATTTATGAGTGACACAGGTTTAGCGCTTCAGGATAGCATTCCTCTGCGTTCACGGACTTGTTTAGAAGACCTTGTAGTGTTAGATAAACGGTTCTTTATGCATACAACATCATCATTTCCCACTATGACAAACCCCCTTGTTTCCAAATCAATTGCGGAAGAGACTTGTAAAAGAAGTTCAGCGACATTTTCACCTTTCCATCTCTGTTTCCTTCCATTATTCATTAAATTTCATTGTATATTTGTGACAAATTTCCACCACAATTTCTCCTTTAGCGAAAGAGCTTTCAAAAATCTCCGATAAAATACAATAATTCACCAATTTTCACCTTCTCAACATAAATCCGCAGTCGAGTTGACTTTCAATTAAATCTCCCGAGACAATCTTCTCGCATAGTCGATCAGTGATTGGAAAAAAGTGAAAATAGCCATTTATCGTGTGAAATTGATAGTGCAAAAACACTGATTTTTTCCCTCCTCAACATTATGCTCTACATGCTGTGGAAAAATACGAAGGTATCCGAGTTTTGCCCGTTGGGAGATTGAGAGTAAATATTGAGATATCGAGAATTTCTGAGAAAATGATCAGGTGTCTTGTGGCAAAATTGCAATTTATTGAGCACCCCAGAGAGTGTTTCATCAATAACAGAGCCGCCAGTTGCTCCAAAGAGTTGCGCACCAAGAGCCAGGACTTTTTGCCTGCATTCCCGCGAAGAAGTGATGATAAAAATCCAGTCGGGAAAAACATGGAAATTCGCAATTAACGGATGATTAATATTACGCAAGAGCTCGCAGATTGTACAACACCTAATAGATTTTCAAGTTTTCTGGAAGAAATATTGCCATCGTTTTAGCGAAAACTATTAAACGGGAATTTATAGATTTGAATAAAGTCATGGTAAACATTTCTTGCACCACCATTTATTCTCAGCCATACAATCTCTGCGGTATACATTTTCATTCTATTATTCACATGTGTAAGGTGTTGGATTTTTCACATATGGAACACGATATTGGTGCGCTTTTCTTTTGGCTCGGGCCGAAAAGGCACCGTTAGCAATTGAGATTCACGTCCATCTTCTTGGGACTCGCCGTGAAGCCCATGAAGATGCCCAATTGATGGTCAGTCGCGCGAGAAATGTGCCACAATTGATGGCGCAGTTCAATTAAAAAGCCAGGGAAAAATCCTTTCACTCAGTGGACAAATTGCGCGCCAATACGTGGGGGAAAATCAAGGGGTCGCTGACACTCTTAGCAGAAACATTTTCCAAGTGGCGACAAAGTGGCGTCCAAATTGAGATGGAGAGAGAGAGTGCATAAAGATTATTTTCATAAATATTCGATTGCTAATTAGCAATTTTCGGCTGTTCTTGTCTAAATTTTGTCGCCGATATCGCAGAAGACAAATGTGATGACTGGAAAAATGCAAAATTATACGACAGACCGCAAGTTCATGCGTGAGAAAGCATGCCATAAACGGATGCGATAATAAACATTAATAGGAAATCTATAACTAAATTAATAATGGTGCTTCTGAAATATGTATCTTAACGGATTGAAAGACAAAATTGCTCCTCTTTTCAACATATGAATTGCAATATTCCACTATCTTTATTAATGCCGTGGCGTTTGCTTGACCCCTCGGTGATGCTCTGAAAACACCTTCACTTGAAATTCTCTCAATATAATAATGATCACGAAATCCCCTGCCAGTGGAATCTTCTGTGTCCGAAATCCACATTTATGATCATTTTATGCCGGAGCAATTTTCAGCGATGTTCCCCGGAACTCCAAATGAGCGAAACACAGTCCGTTGTCATTCTCTGCAATTTGAAGTTGTAATCTTAATTGTGGAGTCTGGACGTCAATAGACCCGTGATTTATGCACTCCGTCCCCCTTTTTGCCCCCGCCAACGAATGGCCAGGCGTACGGTGTGAATAAATAAGGAACAATAAGTCACTGGCGAGGCAACAATGGTGCAAAGTGCATTCGAGATTTATATCTATGCACTGCGGCTCATATTCGAGGGCTTCCTCGCGAACCCACCATTCACACATGCACACAGAGAGCCTATGCAAAAACCGCAGAAAAGGCGAAGACATCAAGTCTTTTGACGAATTAATTGCACAAGCTTCCTTTGTGCTTTTGGGCAAAACCTCAAAACATGCCTAATGAGGTGCATTATTGATGCGAAAATAAGTATCGCGCGGAGGTAAATTATTCACCACTAATTGACGCTTCGGAATGATTGATTGGAACTTCCGCGGGAGCCCTTCGGGACAAATCGTGGACAGTTAGCGGAGTGCATCTTCTCTATGGGAAGAGGGCATTAGTGGTGTGGCCTTTTTTCCCATTCTCACGCGCGCTGTTACGATGAAAAGTATTAATTTCTTTAATGATTCCTTTCTCTTAAGCTGCCAAAAAAGTCCGCCAGCATGGAAGATTCACAGGGAATCTTGATAGATGTACTGTGAGACAAAAGACACAAAAGTGTGGCGACAGAATTACGCCATCATCGCACGATTAAAGTGCTTTTAAGTTTATTAGAATGACTCTAGGGGCATTGATCACCGCGGCAGTAAATGATTGAAATTAGACCAGGGAAAATGCTTGAATCCCGCCAGTGAAAGATTAGATAAATAGGGGAGAGTCAGGCAGTTGTGATCACTTACAGAATTAATACTCTCGTCAAAAGTTTAATTTCTGCCCAGAATAAGAAAATGATATCAGAAGCTGTTAAACAAAGGTAATTTGTTTCAAGAGAAATATGCAATATTTTTCATTTTAAGCCACTCCAAATGTAAAGAATTTCGTTTACAAACAGCAGAAAAAGAAGTTTGGTCGGGTTACGTAGTTTACATATCACTATTCAAAGTTCCAGTAAAAATATCTTAGTGTTCAAAGTTGCCCCGCTTTTCACTAACCCAGTAAATGGATATTTTATTCTGTGGAGAAACCTCACAGTGTTATATAAAATTGTCTAGTGATGTAATCTGAAAGACTTCTGCCCCATCGCGGCGGTGAAATGACGAAATGTGAACTCCCAAAGCAGGTACTTGACCTCATCTTCGTATTCCTGAGTCCTCTTCTCTTCTTTTTAGTCTTCTCACTCGCCCATAATGCAAATCTATTTGGGATCGATTGAGTTGGCTGTTAATTCTTTCGCCTCGTCATCTCAGCTTCTGCTCCAGCGACAATTTAGTGCGTGTTTGAATTGTCGTAGGTCTAGTTTTACCACTTCTTACATTGGCCAAAAAATCATTTTTTGCCGCAGCATTCTCAGACATCTGATATATTCTCTTAATTCACTTCTACTGTTATCCCAGCGGAGAAGCCATTCTTGCGCAGATTTGTTCCGCATCTCAGACATTTTTGTGATATGCAAAATCCTAGACTTTGTAGATAGAGCATTTTCATGTGGGCTCCGCAACAACCTTAATTGCCGTCAATTAATACCCTCCACTCATGATTTTCACCTTACATCGTCTGAGAAGTGCTTGTCGAAGACTGGATTAGCACTTTTGCGAGAGGATCTCCACAGACAAGGAGGGCAATCACGCTTTAACGCGATCACCGATCACCACAGGAATGACAAACTCCTCACAGTGGAAAAAGATGAATTAGCTGGTGTGTAAGATTGTGCATTCGTGATACAATTCCTGCGAGTCAAGTGA